AAATCCCCACTTAGCCTAGCTTAAGATAACTAAACTACCTATCTACAAAGATATACGTTGCGGCCTCACTGGCCAGTCATGCCATGAATGATGCTTCGCAAGGGGAACTAGACCGACGAGTTTGCGGCCGTTTCAGGTTTATGAAGTTTGATGGTTTACAGATATTCTACAAGATGGTGCCCCCAAGATAGCTAAGTCAGCTAAGTTGACTTATAACTTGGTTCGCTAGGGTTTATGGGGGATATAACTAAAGTTAATGGGCTTAGAAACCAACTTATAACTGGGGGGCACCACACTGTATGGAATGTCCTCTTCATAGCTATATAGTTGATTGGTTTGGAGAGGGTGTTACCCCCTCTGAATGACTAAGGCTCTACAGTGGAAGTGGATCCATTTGTTGTTAGGACTTCCATGGCCAGAGATGATTCACCAAGCCATGGGATTTCACCAGCAGTGCGTTGAAGAAGGAGTGACTGGTTGTTGTTTTCGAGAAAACTTTCCATCGTAGCTGAGAAAAACCATGCCTTGGGGATGGGAACCTCAGGACGTGGCATAAATTCGTTGATTTCAAGACACATATTGGGTGTGAACTGCCCGTCATTTTCAGGAAACCAGTTAACTGGTTGGTGGTTTGGAACATTTATTTTTCCATATATACTCTAGGTGAAATAAACTTAGCCCTAGAAAACGAATATGTGCAAAACAAAGTCATGTTAGGATAACTTGGTTTTTGAAGCATTTTGAAGCATTTTGACACAGGTCTATGTTAATATTCTTAATTACAACGAAATCTTAGACAAAACCTCTAAAAGTCTTCATTGACAGCATTTACAACAAACATCTCAAAAACCTATGTTAGGATACCTTTTTGAACCAACCATCACACATGTGCTATGTTAGTACACCAAAGTTCCGTGCAGAACAAAGTCATGTTAGGATAATTTGGTTTTTGAAGCATTTTGACGCAGGTCTATGTTAATTGCCTGATTCTCCAACGGAATCTGAGACAAAATCTCTAAAGGTCTTCATTGCTATGTTAGTTTATAAATGGGCCATTTTCCACAAATCCATGGATTTACCCTCTGGTATATTAACATAGACCCTGGCAGACAGGGGTTGGAAGATTCATGTCCATTAAAAAATAGTGATTTTCAGGGTCTAGGTTAGTTTACTAGGGGGTACCATCTGGTTATGACTAACATAGCCATGGAAAATCCCTTATAAATGGAAGTTTTAATGGGAAAATCATCTATAAATGGGCCATTTTCCACAAATCCATGGATTTACCCTCTGGTATATTAACATAGACCCTGGCAGACAGGGGTTGGAAGATTCATGTCCATTAATCAATAGTGATTTTCAGGGTCTATGTTAGTTTACTAGGGGGTACCATCTGGTTATGACTAACATAGCCATGGAAAATCCCTTATAAATGGAGGTTTTAATGGGAAAATCATCTATAAATGTGTCATTTTCCACAAATCCATGGATTTACCCTCTGGTATATTGACATAGACCCTGGCAGACAGGTGCTGGAAGATTCATGTCCATTAAACAATAGTGATTTTCAGGGTCTATGTTAGTTTACTAGGGGGGTACCATCTGGTTATGACTAACATAGCCATGGAAAATCCCTTATAAATGGAGGTTTTAATGGGAAAATCATCTATAAATGGGTCATTTTCCACAAATCCATGGATTTACCCTCTGGTATATTAACATAGACCCTGGCAGACAGGGGTTGGAAGATTCATGTCCATTAAAAAATATTGATTTCCAGGGTCTATGTTAGTTTACTAGGGGGGTACCATCTGGTTATGACTAACATAGCCATGGAAAATCCCTTATAAATGGAGGTTTTAATGGGAAAATCATCTATAAATGGGCAATTTTCCACAAATCCATGGATTGACCCTCTGGTATATTAACATAGACCCTGGCAGACAGGTGCTGGAAGATTCATGTCCATTAAACAATAGTGATTTTCAGGGTCTATGTTAGTTTACTAGGGGGTACCATCTGGTTATGACTAACATAGCCATGGAAAATCCCTTATAAATCGAGGGTTTAATGGGAAAATCATCTATAAATGTGCCATTTTCCACAAATCCATGGATTTACCCTCTGGTATATCAACATAGACCCTGGCAGACAGGGGTTGGAAGATTCATGTCCATTAAAAAATAGTGATTTTCAGGGTCTATGTTAGTTTACTAGGGGGTACCATCTGGTTATGACTAACATAGCCATGGAAAATCCCTTATAAATCAAGGTTTTAATGTGAAAATCATCTATAAATGGGCAATTTTCCACAAATCCATGGATTGACCGTACCATCTGGTTATGACTAACATAGCCATGGAAAATCCCTTATAAATGGAGGTTTTAATGGGAAAATCATCTATAAATGTGCCATTTTCCGCAAATCCATGGATTTACCCTCTGGTATATTGACATAGACCCTGGCAGACAGGGGTTGGAAGATTCATGTCCATTAATCAATAGTGATTTTCAGGGTCTATGTTAGCTTACTAGGGGGTACCATCTGGTTATGACTAACATAGCCATGGAAAATCCCTTATAAATGGAAGTTTTAATGGGAAAATCATCTATAAATGGACCATTTTCCACAAATCCATGGATTTACCCTCTGGTATATTAACATAGACCCTGGCAGACAGGGGTTGGAAGAGTCATGTCCATTAAACAATAGTGATTTTCAGGGTCTATGTTAGTTTACTAGGGGGGTACCATCTGGTTATGACTAACATAGCCATGGAAAATCCCTTATAAATGGAGGTTTTAATGGGAAAATCATCTATAAATGGGTCATTTTCCATAAATCCATGGATTGACCCTCTGGTATATTAACATAGACCCTGGCAGACAGGTGCTGGAAGATTCATGTCCATTAAAAAATAGTGATTTTCATGGTCTATGTTAGTTTACTAGGGGGTACCATCTGGTTATGACTAACATAGCCATGGAAAATCCCTTATAAATCGAGGGTTTAATGGGAAAATCATCTATAAATGTGCCATTTTCCACAAATCCATGGATTTACCCTCTGGTATATCAACATAGACCCTGGCAGACAGGGGTTGGAAGATTCATGTCCATTAAAAAATAGTGATTTTCAGGGTCTATGTTAGTTTACTAGGGGGTACCATCTGGTTATGACTAACATAGCCATGGAAAATCCCTTATAAATCGAGGTTTTAATGTGAAAATCATCTATAAATGGGATTTTCCACAAATCCATGGATTGACCGTACCATCTGGTTATGACTAACATAGCCATGGAAAATCCCTTATAAATGGAGGTTTTAATGGGAAAATCATCTATAAATGTGCCATTTTCCGCAAATCCATGGATTTACCCTCTGGTATATTAACATAGACCCTGGCAGACAGGGGTTGGAAGATTCATGTCCATTAAAAAATAGTGATTTTCAGGGTCTATGTTAGCTTACTAGGGGGTACCATCTGGTTATGACTAACATAGCCATGGAAAATCCCTTATAAATCGAGGGTTTAATGGGAAAATCATCTATAAATGTGCCATTTTCCACAAATCCATGGATTTACCCTCTGGTATATTAACATAGACCCTGGCAGACAGGGGTTGGAAGATTCATGTCCATTAAAAAATAGTGATTTTCAGGGTCTATGTTAGTTTACTAGGGGGTACCATCTGGTTATGACTAACATAGCCATGGAAAATCCCTTATAAATGGAGGTTTTAATGGGAAAATCATCTATAAATGTGCCATTTTCCACAAATCCATGGATTTACCCTCTGGTATATTAACATAGACCCTGGCAGACAGGGGCTGGAAGATTCATTTCCATTAAAAAATAGTGATTTTCAGGGTCTATGTTAGTTTACTAGGGGGTACCATCTGGTTATGACTAACATAGCCATGGAAAATCCCTTATAAATGGAGGTTTTAATGGGAAAATCATCTATAAATGTGCCATTTTCCGCAAATCCATGGATTTACCCTCTGGTATATTAACATAGACCCTGGCAGACAGGGGTTGGAAGATTCATGTCCATTAAAAAATAGTGATTTTCAGGGTCTATGTTAGTTTACTAGGGGGTACCATCTGGTTATGACTAACATAGCCATGGAAAATCCCTTATAAATGGAGGTTTTATGGGAAAATCATCTATAAAAGGGCCATTTTCCACAAGTCCATGGATTTACCGTACTAGATCTTTGTTTGCAACTCCAAATTGCTTTGACCATGGTTAGGTGTGTAGAAGCATGTGAAGCACAAGAATTGTTAGAAGCTAAGCCGTCACTGGTGATGGAAGTATACTAACATAGACTTAATTGAAATTTGCTGTGAAACCTTGCACAATGCCAAATGCTCCCAAACATCAGGTATGAATCAGGTGATCAGGTCTACGTTTGTGGTCTTCACAGCTGTTGCGTTGCAAAGTGCAGGTATGTAAATGCATTTCAATCAAGCTGTCATGCCTCCATTTTTCCATGTTTTGTATCATGATAGCCAACATGGCTGGATTTTGTAGGTCTATGTTAGCTGAAATCTGAGTTGCAGCCTGTTTTTTCGTTGCTCACGTGTATGGTAAGGCTACCCCCTTAGGTCTATGTTTGTTTAGTGGTATTGCTTTTCTAGGTCTAAGTTTATTTAACCTAGTGTATATATATATGTATATATATATATTGGGAATAATCATCCCAACTGACGAACTCCATCATTTTTCAGAGGGTTAGGTCAACCACCAACCAGTTAAACATGTTTTCCTGTACCAGTCTCCTGAAATCACCAGACGACGTTCGCCAACGGCTTTGTCTTCGTTGGTCGCAGGTTGGCTGATCCGGACGACTTCAAAGCCTTTGAGTTTGGACGGGAAGGCGTTGGTCGGTTTCAACGATGTGAAACGACATGTGATGGAGCTTTTTGGGTCTCAGAAACTCGGGGGGTCCCCGGAACCCCCAAATTTGTCCAATGGTAACCATAGAACACCATAAATACAAACACCACATATCAAACCACATAGAACCCTATGAAGCCATATCTCCCATGTTGGACAATGATTTTATATAGTTGGTTAGTTATAAGCCATGTTATCTCCATTGATATCTCCATTGATGTCCCATTAAATCACCATTTTTAAAGGTGAAACCATGAAAAGACCCAAGGTTTCCACCAAAATCAGCCAAGATTCATGGCTTTTTGAACGGCAGGGCGTGGTCTCTTTGCCTTCATGGAGAAACGACTCCCCGTGGTCTTGGCAGTGATCCTGGCGTACCTGGGACAGTGGGTGTCCTTCACCTGTGATACTGCTGATGGTTGCGAAATCCTGCACCACCAAAAGGATGGTTGAAACCCTATAAATCATGGGTTAAACCATCTATCAACTGGTGATTCGGATTTCTCCACAGTATCCTGGGGATATACTGTATCCATCAGGGATTGAGCTTTCGTTGCGTGGGTTTACTGCGGAGATCCCATGGATGAACAGCAAAGGGGTAATGAATTCCTTCTGACATGTTTTTTTTTGTGAATATATTGGGGATGAAAAAAATGGGATCTATGATCTATATTGATCTATCAGAATGCTTTCCCAGAGTTTTTCCATCAACTCTTCACAAAGTACTTGAAGGATATTTTTTTTGGGGAATATACTGAAAATGTATCCATCAACGATAGGGATTTAACTAGCCCAATGGGGATATAGTGGGATGTCATCTGATATTTTTTTGTCATCTGATATTTTTGTGAGAAAGATTGGAGGTTATTTCCTTCGGAGATACTGTACTGGGGATCTTTTGCAGGATAGAATACGACAAAAATCCATCAACAATAGGGATTTAAGATGATTTAAGTATCAACCATAATGGGACTCTGTTGTGGGGATATAATGGGATATTTTTGCACCTGGAATAATTAAGCCTTGAATAAGCCATGAAAAAGCAGCTGCTATAACTATAGAATCCCTTCCATTGCTCAGATATTTTACACCTCCAAAATTCGAGGTTACCACGGTTACCGGTCAGTGGTATGGATCTCTTCGTCAATTGCGGGGGATTTTCCACGTTGGATGACCTGGGCTCCAAGCGAAACCAGGCTCTTCAACGTCTTTACTGTTGCGGTGGTGATCGCCTTTGCCTTTGCGTGGACCTTGTGGCAGGCGCCATGGTACCGGGTACACGTGTTTTTGATGAGTTCTGCAATAGACCTTATCTATGAACATGGTGGGATCTAATTTTGATAAATGACGGATGGTTGATCACACCGATCACACTGGTTCTGGTGATGTGGTAGGCCCAAGCATCAACCCAACAACTAAGCATTTGGGGGTTGATAGGTAATCTCAAGGGTAAACCGGTAAACCCAACAACACACCCAAATTGGATATGGTTTCTTATCTACCACATGAGTTGTACCCCAGGGGCATTGGGATATGGGTAACGGATGGTAACGCTATTACTGGGTAAAATTGGGAGGATCAAAAGTCGGTTGGTTGAAGATGGTTGAAGGCAACTTTCACAGAACGCCGATTTTTCTTTGAATTACCGGTATCAGATTTGTTGTTGGGTTTTCCTGCAACCTTCTACTTTCAAGCAATTCTAGGACCTCAGTGAATATGCCAGGAAGCCAGCAATCTTTCCCCGTGTTTTTTCATAGCAAGGTTTGCTGCTTTTTCTGCAGGACACCCAAATACCACATTAATCACGGTTTACGGAAAATAATGCCTCCCATGGTCAATCATAGTATTGGGGATCGTAAAAAACTGTGTATGTATATATATATATTCGTGTTAAATCACGGAGAATTCAATGGTTGATGTCTGATTGGTTACACACATGTTCAAAACCTTTGGACTAAGAATCCAGCTCTCAATCAACCCCCAAGCTGTTCACTGGCCGACTGGCCACGCTTGTGCGGACCGCAGGTCTTTCCCGGCAACCACGCTGGCTATGCGGCTCGGACCTGGGGAAACCTTTGTTTTCTCAAGCGACAAGCGAAAAAAAGCGATATACTAACGAGCTTAAAGCAAAACAATTGGTTTTGGCAGGGTATCTAAGATTGTTGGCCATAGTTTTTTTTGGTGATATTGATTGAGTAGTATGAGATATGATGATCAGATAATTGATGTTGATTCCATGAAAGGGGTTTCGAAGCCTAGGGCGACAAGAGATGGTCCACAAGCCTTGGTAGCCACATTCTTGGGTTTAAACATCTCGGTTCTACACCCGTTTTTTGGGTCTGGGTCAAACGTTTAGTTCGTTTTTTGCCATGGAAAATGGCCCATAGAAATAGATGGTTCACCGATTAAAAATGGGTGGATCTTTCCATGGCAAACTGTTAGTCATAACCAGATCTGGGTAAATTATAACGACCTCACTGTTCTCCCAAACCCTGGAATCATGGTTTATTTCAGGGAAATCATCCCCAAATGGCCTTAGCCTTAATTCAGGTTAGTGAACCATTATCATTTACCCAGATGGGGTATTTGATACCCTCTGGTAAATTCACATAACTATGGAAAATCATCATTCAGATAATAGGTAAATCAACTATTTTTATTGCCATTTTCCATAGCTATGTAAATCTGCGATTTTTCATATCACTTGCCATTGACCCAACGACCTGGTCATTACCGCTTTTCATCCCAGCGGTGACGGTTGTTGTCCCCGGTTAGAAACTTCTCAGATGGCCGGAGTTCACCCTATGCTAATATTATGCCATAATATGTTTCATGGTAGAAAAAAATGACCATCTGGTTATGACATTCACACTTTGCCATGGAAAGATCAGGAGATGTCCGCGGGGCCGGACTATCGACCCCTGACGCTGAGCGCCATCCAAGCCTTCTGCATGCTGGGCTTGTCGGCCCTGGTGGCCTAGTGCGGCGGCACAGTTGGCATCCATTTAGTTAGCTTTTGAGGTATGGAAAGGATGGAGTTTTTGAAGAAAGAACGCAACTTCGTTTTTGTGGTGAGGAAAATCCAACTGGAGATATAGCCCAGACATTAATGTTTGAGAAGGAAAAGAGAGCCATATGAATCGAACTGGAGATATTTTCATTGGCGCAGGAGGTGCGCAATTTGGTTTTCAAAAAAGCAGCCACTTGCAGCCACTTGCAAGTGGCTGCAAGTGGCTGGTTGTGGCTGGTTGTGGCTGGTTGTGGCTGGTTGTGGCTGGTTGTGGCTGGTTGTGGCTGGTTGTGGCTGCGTGGCAAGTGGCTGCAAGTGGCTTCTCGTGGCTGCCTGTGGCTGGAAGTGGCTGCTTGGGCAAGTGACAGCAAGTGGTTGCAAGTGGCTGCAAGTGGCTGCGAATGGCTACGTGGCTGCTTGTCCAAGCAGCTATTTTCCATCGAAGTCTCAAAACTTGAAAAAGCAATGGTTTTGAATTTGTCACTTTTTTTTCAAGATTTGAATGCGCGAGCTGAGGAATGATGGCATATTGCGAGACAATTCGTAATTCGTAGCGATTTCTGTAGACCAAAGACAGATGTGATGGCAGCTCCCCAAAAGATTGAAACGTAGCATTCGACTCAACGAGTGGCAATTTTATTTTCTTTTGGTTGAAAGATATTATAATGTTCCATCCTGATTTGTGTGGTCCCCCCGGTGTGATAGACAGTCCCGGCCTATGCGACGCAGACCTTGCAAAAACAACTTTAAACAAGAACAACAAGAACAACAAGAACAACGAGAATAACAATAATAACAAGAACAACAAGAACAAGAACTGCAAGAACAAGAACAACAAGAACAAGAACAACAACAAGAGGAACAACAAGAAGAAGAAGAACAACAACAAGAACAAGAACAAGATCAAGAAGAAGAAGAAGAAGAAGAAAAAGAAGAAGAAAAATAATAAGAAGAAGAAGTAGAGCAAGACAAAGAACAATAACCAGAAGAACTCTGGATATGTTTGCCCTACAAAAGATATAAGTTGGTAAACTCTGATTCTACAACAGAGGTAAATTGCTTTTCAGGCTTTTTAGGAGTTAAGTAATTGGGTTATGAGATGGTTATTTCCTAAAGAAGCAGGAAGGTGTTGCTGTCGCAGAATCGCTTCGCATTTTTGTTGGTCATCTTTGTCAAATGTTTGTGTCTAAGGTGCGTTCTTGTGGGTCAAATAGTCGAATTCCCATTGAACATGGGTACCCTCTGGTACACTAACATAACTATGGAAAATCACCATTTATAAGGAAATTTCCAATGAAACATGGTGATTTTCCATAGTTCTGTTAGTTTACCAGAGGGTATATCCCATTCTATCCCTGGGTTCTCCTCTTTTTCCAAGTGGAATTGCCAAGAACCTGGTTGTTTTGCCTGGTAAAACCCGACCAGGACCAGTCCAACGAGATGTTGAAATCGTCACAACAAGTCCGTGTATGTAGATGAATACATGCAATATACTTATATTATATATATTACTATGATTATTATTACTATTGTTATTGTTTCAACAAATAGATAATATGTATATATATATATATCGACCTTATATATATATTAAAAAGCAATAGGATTCAATTGGATAGTATATATATATATATAGAGTTATATGTGGCTTAATTATGGCCAACATTTCTCCGATCCCATCTGCTCAGTTGGCTGGAAGTGGAGACGGCGAGCTTCTTGGGCTGGAAGCCCAAAGTCTGCAGGCGCGGGGCCCTTGGGCGGTGATGGTCAAAAGATGGGGAAATTCGAGATGTTTTGAAACCCCCCAAAAATAGGATTTAAAGATGATGAAAGATGATGAACAATTATGAAAGATGATGAAAGATGATGAAATTATGAAAGATTATGCAATACGATGAAATTTTGAAAGATGATGAAAGATCATGAACGATGATTAAAGATGATGAAAAATGATGAAAGATGACTAACGACGATTAAAACCACAAGAATTGGGGTTTAAACATGTCCCAAAAACGACCATTTAGAGCTTTGAAGATGTCTGAAGTAACAGTGGGGCTTCATCCCTGGTGGATTTCTGGGGGGAACCCCTTGGTGTTGATCCACAAATGGCATGTATACAATGGTTGCATGGATTATCCTAACACATCTAACTATAGTTCTAACCCTTGGCAATCCAATTTCGTAATGGAACATTCCCATCCTTGAATTGGTGGTCCACGTGTCCATGAGGGACAACAAGTTAGTCACTTCAGTGATCAGCGAAAATGTGGATTCGCCATCTTTATCCGTGGCAGAGAATTCCCGTTTTTGATGAAGCACAATTTATTCGAAATGGATAGGAATGCTGGATTTCCATAGGTTTCATCACTAGTGGGGCCTCCTCTGGTAGATCCAACCTGGATGTCAGGAACTGTCTCAATCCCCATTTGTGTCGGTGAAAATTGTACACCATTTCGGGTGAATTTTCTAGGCAATTTCAGCTCCATTCAAGCGTAGATCATGCACAATATGAGATATGGATATACATTTTTTTGTCATATTTAAATCTATAAATACATATGTCTATAGATAATATATGATAATATACCATATGGACAATACATCTATCTAATCTGGCTTCACTTCCGAAAAAAATCTCAGAAATGCTCAGCAGTCGTAGCGTCCAGGCGTGTATGGCTGCTCTGGAGCAACCGGACAGTGCTGTGTTGCTACTTCCTATGGTCGCTGGGAGAACATCCCAGGGATGCTGCACAGATGGAAAAAAAATGGCAGGAGAAGCTAAACTGCTATACTATAAATATGTATATATATATATATATCATTAATTATAGTTATATATATATAGATGTAAACCTACACTGGGGTTTCGATGAGGCTATCAACATAAGAACATGGACTTTGTTGCCACCTGGATGGTGGTGGCACCAAATCTATCTGTTTTTTTTTCGTGCGAGCTCAATCCATAGGTCGAAGATAGAGGAAGTGATGATACACCAGAAAAATGTTAAAGTACACTACTTTCAGATAAACCCTTAAATGTTTGCGATTGTAAGCGAAGCACACTGTTGGGAGGTGGTTCTTTTGGTAATTGCCCTACAGAGCTATTGCCATTTGGCACAATTCACCATTGATGTTCCTCCGAAGGAGATTTCCCAGCCATGTTAGATGACCAGATTTTTTTTTTTAAAGAATCTAGATACCACATGACCAGTTAACCACATTAAAAGACTGGTTAATTAATAGTGGTTAATGCCATATGATCTGTGTGTTAATGCCATAGGTTATCACCATGGTCCACTTGGGATTACCAACCAGAGTCCACGACTAGGTGTTGCCAGTCCCTTTTTTTTGTGACGCATCGATACCAAACCGAATCCTGTGGTAACCAAAAACCTGGTTGTTGGAAGAATTCTTCCGATCGAAGATGACCAACGTGGGTTTTAGCGACCTGATTTGTGGCCACTGCTAGTGGCTAAACTGGTCCATTTAAGGTGGATTCCCCAAACATCCTCAGCAGAACGCTGCGTGTTTTTTTTTGGTTTCGTACTTATTTTCCCTTAATCCGATGAACCCAACTGACTCTGATGGAGTTGGGAACTACCAACAATACATCAACTGCAGAAACCGTTTAAATTTCACCAAAAAGGAATTGTCAGCTCCGCAACTTCATAGCTCCGCGACATTGCTTTTGGATTCCTAATCTGTTTTGGAAGTCACTGTCCGAGAATTTCTTGAAGGGAACATTGACGGGAATAGCTAGGTTCAGACCATATTCCCCCCTGATTTCCCCGACGTTAGCGGAGAAGGTCCTTTTACGTCTTCCTGGCGTGCCCGATTGCCTATGCAGCAGCTTGGCCATCGGTGTTTCAACGACTGGAATTTTCCATCTTTGATCAGAGATCGTCGTTGGAAGTGAGTTGGCCCCACACTTACTACATGTCCACTTTCTTGGATGGTCAGAACTGAGTTACAACCATATTTCCCCGATATTCACTGTGCAGGGATGCCTTGTTCACGCGAGACTACTTTTTTCAAGCTCAGGCAACAGTTTCCTAATTCTTGCTGGGTAGATTTATAATACTTTCTGCGGGTGATTCTGTCCAAACTGGTAGCTATGCCCAGCTGGATATTCTAGGGTGATAATCCCATGATTTTTATAGTGTTTTCAGGGATGACCATGGCGCTGTGTATCCACTAAAGCTAAGCTTACCACAACCATATGTAGTTTCAAGATGGGTTCGGTCTGGTTGCAACTCAGTTATCGCTCTTAGATCTTCACGTTCTAACCCTCTTTGCTTTCTGTTGTACATTATAAATTGATGATTTGTCCAAGGCTTGAGATTAAAGATCGACCCCCGAACTGGAAGGTGTAAGCGTGTGTAAGGCTAGACATGAAAACACAGATTCATTGATACTGTCCTTTTATGTCCATCATCCTCACTATCGTTTCCTAGTTGCATGTCCGTGTCCAGGTGACTTGGAAGTTAGATTGCACCACTGATGCTTGGCCAGTGACTAATGCGGCAGTGGCGGGTCAACACCCGCCTTTATATTTGGTGGGATGAATATGTACTGTACCAGCTATGTTGATATGAAACCACGCTTCCATCATTTTGACCCATACTGTCGATGGTGGCACCGGTGGTCCCCAGGATCTTTGCGAAGCCGGTAGTACAGGTGTTGCCACCTGTGGTGTCAACGGATGCACCTGCTGCGCGGCCTGAGGGGGATATCGGACATCCAGGCTGAAAATAGGGGTTAGCAATAGGACATTCCCCACATATGTTGATGATTGGATTGATATGTATATATGCATAATATATATATAATATTATTTTATCTTGTATTATATTATACTATACTATATTATATTATATGATATTATACTATATTATACTATATTATATTATATTATACTATATTATATTATATTATACTATATTATACTATATATTATATTATATGATATTATACTATGTTATACTATATTATACTATATTATACTATATTATATTATAACATATTATATTATATTATAATATATTATATTATATTATACTATATTATATTATATGATATTATACTATATTATACTATATTATAATATATTATATTATAATATATTATATTATACTATATTATATTATATGACATTATACTATATTATAATATATTATACTATATTATACTATATTATACTATATTATACTATATTATATTATATTATATGAACATATATACATCATATCATAATATATTATACTATATTATATTATATGATGTTATACTATATTATACTATATCATATTTTATTACTGTATATTAAATTAGATTATATTGTATTTTTATCATTAAACTATATTATATTATATTATATAGTATATTATATTGTATGATATTATATTGTATGATATTATATTGTATTATATTATATTGTATTTATATCATTAAATTAAATTATATTATATTATATTATATTACATAGTATAATATAGTATAATATAATTAATATACTATAATATAATACACTACAATATAATATAATATAATTTATTTTTATTTAATTTAATTGTATAAATACAATATAATATAATACAATATAATATCATACAATATAATATAGTTTAATGATATAAATACAATATCATATAATATAACACAAAATAATACAATATAATACAATATATACGTATATATATATATACAGATAATGGTTGATCAAGGCTGATATGGAATGATAACTACGCATTGCAGGGATACAGATGTCTCAATCCTCAGTATAGAAGCCACACCTTCCCAGGACTTCCAGTTCCCACATGGGCTGCTTTCATGGGGGTTTTCGACATAATTACCCTCTGGTAAATAAACATAGACCCTGAAAATGACCAATTTATAGTGGAAACTAGTCTTCCAACCCCTATCTGCCAGGGTCTATATTAATTTCCTGGAGGGCAGTGAATCGATTTGGCATGTAACATCTAACAGAATCTAACTTATAGCCTTGCAATGGAATGTTCCCGACTTGAAATGGGAAACTCATCCAGGCATGAACAGATCCCTGGAAAACACCGACCCCCTAATGTCAACGCAGGATCAATCAACCCCCTGATATGGCGGGATTGAAATCCCAACCCCTAATGCAGTAAACCTGATAGTAAACCCTACTTTTTTGTGGTTTACAGTCCCCCCAAAACGGTAAAATGCTTGTAACTTGGGGAAGGGAAACAAAAAAATCGTCAGCATGAACCTTTTTGTAAGTGCTTTACAATGTTTCAAACATTCTTTTCCCATGGCCTACTTTGGGGTAATTTTCACGGTGATTTTCAATCCGCACTGGTGAATGACTTGGCGGGGTCCCGCTGTGGGTCAACCTTGGATGTATGGTTTCGTTGGTTAATCTTTTGCTATTAATATAAATATATACATATATGAATATACATACATTATAGAATATATATATATACACATACATGTGTATATATATATATAGAAATATCTACTAACCAGCGCGAAGATTTTTCATTTTTCTTTTGCAGGGTATCTGATATTGGCAATGCATATCCATCAACAGATGCATTGGCACCTTCATGAGACTTTCGTATTGGATCGTAATGATCACCGTCAGACATAGGGATCAAACTCCCCATGAACGGATGAACGAAGCCCCACAACTGCCAGCTGTTACCAGCGATTTTTCTTATGAAAATGAGGGTAGGGGTCAAAGCGCCCAGGTAGCAGTATCATGGACATGAGCTGTACCCCCGCAATCAGCAAGGCCTGAGCCTTTTGGGTGTTTGAAATGGGGGAAGTTCCGAAAAACTCCCAAGTACTTTTGATATTTTTGATCTCTTTTCAATAGGGAAAATGATACGGTAATTCATCATGAAATTGGGGTATCTGCAAGCGAGTTCTGGAAACTTCGCCGATCCAATGGGCTGATCCAAGTCGTGTCTTTTGGGATGATCCATTTTTCGCCAGGAAAAACGGGAATCAGCCTAGGGCCTAGATGCATGGGAGGCTAGCACCAGTCATTTGGACATGGATTATCCATGTTGGTAGTGGTAAAGCCACAAGAACAAATAGCTGTTTTTTTTTTGTGTAGGACATTGGGCTTCAAAAATTCGGATCATCGTCCGGACAGGGATGATCCGAAACATCAGTTGGTGGAGAGTCTGGGGTATCATCCAGAAGTTTGAACGATCAGAGAGGGATTTGTTTTAGGTTATTTTTGAACAATTTTATACATCGCGTTAAAATACTAGAGTGGTTTTTAGCCAATGCCATTTTATGCCTCCCCATTCGCCAAGCATTTCATTGATTATAAATCATTCTAGTGGTATACCATTGGGTCACAGACCCAAATCGGGATGGTGAGTTCTTGATGAGTTTTACAACGCTTACACCATAGGAAGCAAACGATATTTATAGCATTGTATAGCTATTGTAAGTGGTAAAACTATTCTACTACTATAAGTACTTTAACTGATATAGGTATTTCCACTATTAAACCTATTTCAGTTATTATACAATTTTCAGTATTTTGTGTGTTTCAAGTATTTAAAATGTTATAAAATGTTACACTCATTTTAAGCATTTTAAATACTATAACCATTCTTCCTATCATAAGCACTGTAAAAATTGTAAATATCATAAATATTAAAACAATTGCAACCATTCTAACTATTATGTGTATTACGACTGTTCTGAACCTATCTGAACTATTTTGAGTAAAAACCATGATAGCCATGATAAGTATTGTAAGCGTTTTAGCTACCTTGCATCAGTAGTATCATTAGGATACAGCAAGTATTAAGCGGGGTTGTAACTGCAACTTTTTTCTTAAAACCACTATTATATCGATTATACCTCATATACGCATTAAAGGTAGCACATTAATTACAAGTGATACAACTATTTTACACTACTTTGACTATCATCACCATGACAAGTATCATGACTATTAAAGCTATCTTACTTTTAGTATTTTAAGTATTGCAAGTATTTTAAGTATTCCAACTACTTTAAGTATCATAGGTAGTATGAGTATAACACCTCTTCAACAACTTATAAAGTATATACGGTAACTATTATAACAATTGTAAATTGTAGCTATTGTAACGATTGTTACTATTTCAACAATTGCAACTATGATACATATTATAACTAGTACTACAACAACCATACGTATTTTAGGTATTGTAAGTAGTAACATGTTGAACTATCATACGTATTTCACGTATTCTATTCACTACAACTATAATAACCCTGACATACATTGATGTTATAACTATTATAACTAGTATACTCGTTACAGTATAGCTATTATAACTTTTGCAGTTTTTTTTTCCCACTTTTCTTCCTCTATGTCTGGTTGTCCTGTCGCGCCAGATGGGCGCCCTGTGCGCCAGCGTCCAGCAACCGCTCTGCCGACACGTGAACAGCACTGGACCGGTGAGCGGCGCGCATATTCCGATGCTCATGGCAGCACCTGGGTCGTGACATCAGTGACTGGTGACTCTTTGCCATCAAAAAAACTCTCTAAAATCTTCGTTGGTTGATGATTACCCTCTGGTAAACATAGAAAAAGCTATTGAAAATGGCCATTGAAATAGTTGATTTACACATAAAAGGCGGTGGTTTTCCGTAGTTTTTTGTATGTTTACCAGGCCGGGTATATTAAGGGACCTTATTGCAAGAATGGGATGGAAAGGCATTGATCTCATCCGAGATATTTCTGAAATTATAGAAGGGCTGTTACGACTATGGCTGAAGAAAGCCTATGGATGATGGTGAAATGGGTATGGGTCAATACCTATAGATACCATTACTATAGTGGGTTATTCACATCCATTTACCAGCTATGACTTGGGCTTCACTAGGTACCAGGGTTTTGACCCATCCCCAAATGGTGAATTCGTAAGGGGACTCTCCAGTCACTGGAATTTTCTTCCTCTGTAAATGGATGGCCAAACTCGACGAAGTGATTTTCTCAAGCCATGGTTCCGATTGTTGGGATAGTCCCAAAGCACCAGTTGAACATTGCTTGGGAAGAAACTCTTTTTTCTTTTGAGAGGTTCGAGACTCTACTGCTGCCACTGGGCCCCTTATTGATAGCTTTCCGTTTTTCGAAATCTATCAGCATCTGCCACCGTTTTTTTGGGAGAAAAAATGGACCCCTCGCATTTTCCTTCCATCCTTGTTGCCTTCAGATTCCAAGAATTTGTCCAAAAACCTCGACCCATTGGGATTATTTTGGTGAATATCTGTCGTCAAATCCAGGCATTTTTGCATCGAACCCTCCCCCAATAAGGGAAGATTTGCATCGGGATGATCCCTAGGGTACCCTCTGGTAAACTAACATAACTATGGAAAATCACCATTTTTAATGGGAAAATCCACTATAAATAGCCATTTTCAATAGCTATTGCTGAGGCCTTTGTGATGTCCGGACTGGGCTGTTTGCTGGCTCTCCTGTGGGTTGTGAACATGCGCCTTGGCGAAGCCGGATGTGCTGCGGCAACGAAGTTCGGTGACGGTAGGGACGGTAGGGACGGTAGGGACGGTAGGGAGGAGGGTATCGAACATCAAATAAATTGGGCAAATCTGCCTCCGACTTTACATACGCGACACGGCCGGATCTGAAAAAAATGGCCTTCACCCGGCCGCATCACTGGTTACAGCCCCAAGAAAATCATGGTTTGTAGTAGGGGATCAACAAAAAACACATATGACTGGGACATACTGGGACCACTGATGGGGTGTTTTAAAAAAAATGAGGGAATGGGACTATTCGGACGATTTCTGGGAATTGGTTGCTGATTTGCCTAGACATCCCTGACCGGTCGATGGTGAGATCGAGGATATTCATGGATATTCCAGGTGGAACCGTGATTTTAAGACGAGTAAAAGCATTCCATTTTGGGGTACATGATTTTGACACACCATATGGAACCGGGGAAAAAAGCCGTGCTTAGAAACTTAGAATTCTCCGAATGCACATCTGAGCATTGAGCATATCTGGCGCTCCGGACTTGAACGATGCAACGATGCAACCCAGCCATTTTCTGACATCTCTTTCTGGGAGCCAGCGGTGGTACCTGGGTTCCCGAATGCAGTGTGAAATGCAGGACAAATTGTATCATTTCACCCTGGTACTCTGTTTTTTCGCACCAACATAGCTATTTTTTTCATGTTGTTCATGCATGTCCATGCCGTTTAAAGGAGGACCCATAGGTGTTGAACTGTTCCCTGTCGGTTTTCTATGCCCAGATTAGTATAGCAACCCCCAAAACGATGGAAAAGTAACATCCGACTAAACATATGGCACATGTTTTTTCCATACCTTTTTTTGTGTGTATTAAAGGCCTGTTCCTGGAGTCTTAGAGGTTTATATACAACTTTTAATCTCCAACGATCATCGAATCCCGCAGTGTTTGGATGGCCGAACTTCCTTCCACGCATGCCGAGGATTTTTATCTATGGCTCTTGGACACTCGAGTCGGTTGGCGTAATTTTGGCAGGGGCTTGGGAAACTCACCCCCTGGTAAACGAAGAGTTTGCTATTGAAGCCATGGCCCATTTAGTTCGTTGATTTACCGAACTGTAAAGTGGTGATTTTCCACTTCTTTATCTTAGTTTACCAGAGGGCATTGGAAAGAGGACTCAGAGTTTGTTGTGTGTTTCATGAAAAGTATGATCTCGGGATATTTTGGATGCCTGTTCATTGGGAGATATTGGGACACAACACGATGATTTCCCAAGCTTTAGGAGACCCTGCTCGTTGTGGGACTTGCTCACCCAGGAAGTGATTGTGCCGTTTCTTGGGGATACCATTCATATCCCAGTGATTGTTGCCGCAAAGGATGGTCCGATTGGCCCCTGGTTTTTTTTCCCCGCAAGGAAGATGTCCCAGTCCGAAGCCAAATTACCAGGAGTATCATGTGATAAAGCCGAAATCATAAACCATCCCAATGACTCAAGGGATGGATAAATACACTCATAACCCTCGGATTCATTAGAGCTCTGGGGCGGTGAACCCCACATTAGTGCCCATGGTTGGTGACGCCGGTGGCTTTTTTAAACTTCTTGCGCTGGCACCAGGTGTGGACAAGCACGACAATTGGCGCAGAAACAAGCGCGCGTGCATCATCACAGGCAAGAGAGTTAACCCCGTGGGGTTTGGAGTGTTTTTTTTCTCCCATGGTTGACCGGTCGACCATCCCAAAATTCAATGGTGTTTTAAGGGATGGTGAAAAATCGTTCGTATTTTGCGGGAGTTTATTTACATGGGATGAATCACAATTGATGATACTTTGGGATGAAAAAATGTTGAAACCAGGATTTGGGCAGGTTTTTGATTGCAAAGTCATGATGCTGTTGGTAAATATGGCAAACGACACAAGAAGCACCCAATCTTATTATACGATTTGTACAGATCCCAAAATGGCAAAATGAAGGCTGCTATATTTTGCGCTTTCCACATACTGTAGTTGATTTCTGGTTGAGGGCCTATTCACAGGCTCGTGGGTTGGAGCCCAGTACTCAACCAATTCGAACACATTAATGTAAAAATATACGAGCTTGTTTATCACATAAAAATAACCAGGCTTGATTTATTAAGTTAATATCACTAGACTATGTATATATATATATACATATTATATTATAAATCAATATCAATATAATATATATATAACATTACATATAATATAATATATAATATAATATATAATCTTATATAATATATATAATATATATATTCTTATATAATAATATAATACTATAATAATATAATATATAATATATAATATATAATCTATAATATATAATATATGATATATAATATATAATATATAACATATAATATATGATATATAATATATAATATATAATATATAATCTATAATATATAATATATAATATATAATCTATAATATATAATATATAATATATAATATATAATATATAATATATAATATAATATATGATATATAATATATAATATATAATATATAATATATAATATATAATATATAATATATAATATATGATATATGATATATAATATATGATATATAATATATAATATATCATATATCATATATCATATATCATATATCATATATAATATATAATATATAATATATAATACATAATATATAATATATAATATATAATATGTAATATATAATATAATATAATATAATATAATATATTGCATATTATATTTATATATTATATATTCCATATTATATATTATATATTATACATTATATATTATAAATGATATATTATATATAATATTATATATAATATGATATATGATATATATGATCATTGAACGAACTCATATCACCAAAGATATTAAGTTGATATGGTTCTCTTGGCTTACATAGTAAGAAAAATGCTCCTCAATTTTACCCTATATTTCTAAGAGGTCCCGATCCAACTGCAGATGTCATTTTTTGCACAAAATATGCATGTGCAGAGTGTATATACACATAGCAAGGCCAAAAGGATAGAAGTTGATAAAATTCATTTCAAAAATAACATTTTTTTTTGTGTTTCTATCCTTTTTGGGGCTTACCATGTGACCATGTGCATTTTTTAACATAGAGTCGAAAGCCTATCTGTAAAATCGTTTGCTCTAAATGGGGATAGTATATACCAACCAGCTAACAAACACTCGATGGTGGGGTATCTAAGATCAGGAATCTCTCTCTCTCTCTCTTTCTAGGTATTTATGATATATGTACAAACATGTATATATATACATACACACTTATATGTTGATGGTTTCTACACATCAGCAATGTATTCTATAGCCATAGGCAGTCACTTTCAAGTGGGAGAAACATTCCAGGTAGAATAGTAGGATGGAACAAACACACTTTCGTATCCTCTTTGTTTTCCGGTTGCTTTTCATTCGACTGGGGTAAGGCTTGGTAAGGGTAGCCAACCTGGTGCATCACCAGGCAGAACGTACACTGACCTCAATGTAGCATGTGTTGCGATTGCACCCACCATACTTGTCGATGTTCATCTTTGTTCATAACTCGCCTCCCATCTTAGCGAAGTAGGGGGCTTTGCCCTGACAACATCCCACTCATATCCAGGATTGATATCGCCGTTTTAATCATACATACTGGTGAAATCCTCCAAGACTATACATATATATATGTATATCATACACACATATGTATACACATATAGTCATATATATATAATACCATACATGTGACATATGTATATGTATATGTATGTATGTATGTGTATATATATATACATATATCTAAACCCATGTTTCTTGAGTTATCAACGATGTTCACCGGCCTGCAGGTTCGCGGTGTCCTTCCGTTCGCGCAGTTCTTCCTCGGGGTTGCCGGTGGTCATCACGCTGAGTGCCAAGGAAGATCCCGAGGAGGCCGGGGATGGTAAACTAACCATTTTGGAATGGTTTATAGCTATAAAACTGGTGATTTTTCATGGGAATATGATGGGAATATACCCTGTGGTAATGACTAAGAGTTTGCTATAGAAATAGTTGATTTACATATTGGAAATGGTGTTTTTCCATAGTTATGTAAACGTTTACCAGTGGGTAATCCTTTCGTTTTTTTGTTGTAAATGGAAAACGACCATAAACATTTTTTTTTTTGTGGAGTACCAAAGATTGACAATGTAATATGGAGAGAAAATGTAATATGGGGATAATATGATGTTGGCAACCCAAGAATAAATCTATATACCGTTTGGGCCAGGGATCAATAGTGGGATATTCATTTGAGCTACTAAAGATACCTCTGTTGATGGATGAATGAAAGGAGTTATACAAACTTTTTTTTTGGGGGATTGTGAATCAACACATAGTAGGAGATAGGTACTAACCAACCAGTATTTTTAGGGGCGGATGGGCTATTTTTCGCTATTTCATGGGGATTTTGCAGGCCCGAAGCGGGGAGATATGGAGATTTACTGTAGCCATAAATAGGGAGCTAAGCGGCAACAAAATGATATTGATTGGGGATAAAATGAGATAGATTTTCTATAAAATGGGTTTTCAATAAATTCATTAGTAAGAACAAATAGAGTTCCGGAAAACCACCGTAGGGGTAAGAACTATGGGGATACAACATTTTAGTGGGATGTAACGAAGATTATGGATTGGTCCAAAAATGCTGGATACACCAAAATATGCGATTCCCAATCCGAAAAATGGTGCACCTTGGGATTTTCGGGGTACCCTGATGGCCGACTCCAGCAAGCCCCAGATATGTGTCGAATGGATACATTTCCATCGGTAGATTTCGTTGCATGTCATTTGCGGACAACGAAAAAACATGGTTATATGTTCTATAGTCATGTGTGATTTACCTTCCAATAAAAAAGCCATGTCACAAGCTCTGTTTTTTCATTTCCAGTCTTCCCATTCCCCGGGAACATATTTCAAGGTCCAACCTTTCTATTTTGTCCCAGTTACCAGTGGCGTTTAAAAATCGCCGACGAATCTACCATGGTTTCGGGGCTGGGGGAAGGGATTGATGACTATGGTACGGAATGATAGAATCATCATGATCTAACATCAACAGATGATTCATGAACAATTTCGGTACGGATGGATGATAGAATCATGAAATATCATGAAATATCATGAAATATCATCATATATCATGAAATATCATGAAAATCATGCATGAAATATCATTTCATTATCTCATGATTCATGAACAATTATCATGTCTAAATAATGTTATACATGGAATATCATATACATCATGAAATATCATGAAATATCATGAAATATCATGAAATATCATGAAATATCATGAAATATCATGAAATATCATGAAATATCATGAAATATCATGAAATATCATGAAATATCACCATAAAAATCCATGAATCTTACTAATCTCACCATTAAATATACCCACCATGTGAAAACACGCCGGGTAGAGACCTGGCAGATCTGGCAGATCTGGAAACCACGATGTGAGGTGATCAAGGTCCTACTGCCGGAAGTGGATCTGGGCGATCCTCTCTTCTATGGCGAAAACGTCAGAAATCTCAGTGGAACAGCGGAACTATGCGGAACTGCTGGAGAATTAAAAATGGTGAGTTATGACAGTTATGAGATATGAGTTCTGATATTGTTGGATGTAAACATCCCACTGAAAGCCACTAGAATTTAGTGGTGATATTGTTTTCATAGTCCCTTTTTGATGATTAAACTGGGATGTATCCTCTGGCCGGAAAATCACATGTCATAGGTATCTATATAAATCATCGAACTAAACGGGCCATGTTCATCCATTTTCCATAGCTATGCAAACAAACACCAGAGAATAAGCGCCATAAAATCATCATTTAAGTCCTATAATGCCACCATTTTTCCAGTATAGTTGATGGTTAAACCACCATTAAACCACCGTTTCTGTGTAGAATGGTAGAACTCTGGAACGCCAGAAAACTCACTAGTCACTTCCTGATGGTCATCCCGGATTTTGAGTCATTTGGGTGAAGGAATTCATCATTCAACAGGGAAATGTAGATATATGTATTATATATATATACACAATATATGTGTATATACATACTTATGTATATATATATATATGTATATGTATATGTATATATACAATATGTATATATACAATATGTATATATACAATATGTATATATACATCTACAGTACTATATATAAATACAGATCCAGATCCAGATCCATATATATATATATATAGTTACGAGTATAGATATAGATATAGAAAATCATATAGATATCCATAGGATCCCTTCAGTTGCCCTTAGGATGGCGCCAGCACCGACGTCCCGCCTGCGGAAGATGATCCGGATAGCCCGGTGGAGCCGCAGTGGTGCTAGGTCCAAGTGAATGGAAGTAGTTTTTGGATTCGATGCAAACAGTTTGCACATAAATTATATATATACATAGAAAAACACACACATATATATATGTTATATATATATGTACATATATGTTATATATATATGTTATATATGTATATACACATGAATTTTTGACAGATACCTAACATAGATATCTGAGATGAATTCACCAATCTTTCGCCAGTTTAAAGTGCTTCAGTGGGCCTTGTGTCCCAGATCCGGAAAGTTTCACTGGAGGGTCCCCGCAAATGTGGGGAGCGAAACAGCGCGGTTTCCAGACCAAAGGTTGCGACACGCGACACGTGGTCGCTTGCGGTGGTTCCTTTGAGGAAAGCAACTGGATGATTTTTTATTTCTGACAAATTTGAGAGAGATTGGCATGATTGTTTTTTGTGTCCGAAATCTCGAAAGGTCACTCCGAAATCCCAGAGATCTCTGGACCCAGCAAATTTTCACGGAAAAATGCCAGATCTGGGTCGGTCCTCGTCTTCCGTGGATGCTCTCAATCCAACAAAAGAATTACGGCTGGACTGTTCCAAATTCTACCTGCAGTATATAATCAAACATGGCAGTGACAAGCCCCTATAAATGGACACTTGAATGGGAACATCATCTACAAATGGGGCATTTTCCAGGACACCATGCTTGATTCCCAGACGATAGTCAAGAAATGTTCAATTAACATTCCACCAATTCTCCATTCCATCCAATTACCCATTATATCACCACCTATGGAGAAAGCTAATAAAATCAGCATTTTCTATGGAAATCAGCATTTGAATGTGGGATGAATTATTTAAATTCCCAGATCTCATCCCACATCATCCCACATCATCCCACATCATCCCACAGAAATACCCTCTGGTAAACTAACAGTTTGCTATTGAACATGGCCATTGAAATAGTGGATTTACCCATTAAAAATGGTGATTTTCCATAGCTTTCTGTTAGTTTACCAGGCCGGGTAATTCCCAGATCATCCCAGGGAAAGCCAATGTGTTCTCCATCGCTTCAACGGTGGACCGTTGACCACCGTTGACCACCAATGACCAGGTGCCGTTCAGAAGATGCTGAAGGAAGAGCTTCCCGGATCCAGCGACCCCCAGAGCCTCAAGGACGCCGGGCCGGTGGTCACTGGGTGAGTACTATGAGATGGTGGTAGAATGATAAGAATCCTAAAATGACAAGCATAACTAATGGTATTTTGGTGAAGTATGACACTTTTTTTGTCGTCATTCTGAAAAACTATCATGATGGTGGCATGATGATTTCTTGGCAAGAACACTGATACGAGTATTGTGGGGCTAATGATAATCATGATACTGATAATAGTGACAATGATAATGATTACAATGATGGTGGTATAATGATACCCCCCTGGTAGTTCAACAGTTTGCAATCGAAACTCACCATTTTATAGTTACTGTAGGCAATTCATCTTTAAACAAACCGTTTTCCATAGCTATGTTTAATTACCGGAGGGTAAACACAACACTGATAATAGGATAACGATCATAATTATAATGATAATAGTAAAGTAATGACAATTATGATAGTAAAAATAACAATCATATATAGTTGGAGTTACTTATTGTTTTTTTAATTGAGAATGATAACAACAACAGCCATTATGATAGTACATACAACCAGGATGATGTCGACAAGGACGATTACAATGAACATGACAGCGAACATGAATATGAATATGATAATAAAATATAGTAAACATGATAATGCCGGTAATATTGATGATGATGGTGACCATGAATATTTTTTTCCGCGATTCCCGGAAATATCATTATGACGGTACAACTCCTGTTACAACCTTCATCTTGTTGTATTGTAATCATCACTGATATCAACAGGGAAGGAGGCAACCCTATGTTTTTGCGGGTGCAAACAACACCGTACTGTAGGTATATCTACGATAAAACCCAAGACTTGCTGGAAATATGTTTGACAACTTGGCGAACTGGGGCACTACTTTGCGGCATCTTCAACTTCCAATACTTCAAGTTAGCTTCTTGCAGGTTGGCCCCGGAATGCGAGATTCCCAGTTGCCCAGTGAAAAACATTGGAGGATCTGTAGGATTCCCAGCATGGTTGTTTCTCCTCTTAAGGTGGTCATCATTCCAAATGACCTCGGCCAGAGATGGGAAGGACTATCATTTGCTCACTTTAAATGTTTCGTAGCTAGATCATGATCATAACCTGTCAGAAATTATAGTAGGATAGCACAATCTGTTAAAGTTCGGTCAGAAGTTGCATCATCATTTATGTCTGAAACATGGGCATTAAAAAAAATAAGGCACTTTTCATGAAGCTGAGGGTTTTCATTTTCCACCATTTTTGTCGGGATTTTCCCAACCACATTTTCCGGCCTCAGGAGATCTTGAGGATCTTGAGCAACGAGGTTCAGCTGCTCCACGGGCCCTTTCTGGTTGTTTTAATGTTTGGACAAACATTTATCCGCAGCAAAAAATTGATATCCTCATTCATTGTGATAAAATATCACTCTTATTTGTTGTTGTTACACCCTAATTTATTGTGAACACAACCCCTCATTTTAGCTCTTGTGGTAACGTCACCATTTTGCTTAGTCATTTCAAACATATCTGGATTTTGAGAGGTTTTTAAGTCTTAAAACCAAGAAGGGGTTGGAAGCAGATTTTGGTTTTGGTTATCACAATTCTTGGTTTCCTGCCATTCAATTTTGGGTGTGCTTACCCTATACATACATTTTTTTTCCCCAATTGACTTGCCAGTTCCAATGACTCTACACTCTACACCATTTTTGGTGGGAGTTGATTCAAGATGACTTTTTTGTCGCACAAAAAAAGTAGCAGTTTCGATCTACGTGATGGTCGTCCTACATGCTCTCGGCGATTCAGTTTCATGCCCGCTTCTAAGACTCTAAGACTCCTGGATGTTGACAGATGACGAGAAGGTGCCATTCTTGATTCCCAAAATAAAAGGACCCGACCTTGGTATTTTGAATACTCTCTGGTAATTTCACCTAAGAGTTTGCGAACTCGAAGCCATGGCCCGTAGTTAAATAGTTGATTTACCTCTTAACATTGGTGATTTACCATGGCAAACTGTAAACATTTACCAGAGGGTAAGTGAAATCATCATTAATCACCATCTTTAACCATCATTAATCAGCATTAATCACCATTAATCACCATTCAACAGCTATGTAAACGTTTACCAAAGGTACCCTGGTTCCAACTCGTGGACCTTGGGCAATGGTTTTTAGGCAGACGTCAGAGAGGCAGATCGCTTCGTTGGGAGCCTAGTCACCTAGTCCTTGGCGAAGTCAAGGCGGGAAATTTCCATTTAGAATTGGAAGAAAAAAGAACATGGTGGATTTACTATGGGGATTTGATGGGCTATTTGGGTTCAATCAACGAAATAAGATGGGGAGATTTAATGAATTTAATGATTTTCATGCCGATGTGGCAGCCAAGAAGTCAATTGGTAGTTCAAATAATCAATACTACAAGAGAATTAACTGGGGATATGCAGTACTGGGTACATTTCCTGGTGATTAGTTGGGGATATCGAAGGTCCAGTACAAGGCGGTTTTGCCCCCAGGGCCCCTGATCCCTATGGGGATAGAATGGAGACATGAACCAGCAATTTCACTGGGTTTTAACCAATCAATAATGGATCTTAACAGCACATGATCTGGGAAAACCGATTAGATGGGTACGTTCATCTTCTGCCGGAATGATGGGGAGATGTACTACCCAGCTACAAGCGTGTTTCTCAGGCTTGAAGCCCGTAAAATGCTCTATTGTCAAGTCCTGAAATAGGTGAGACTGGTCCTGAATTTGGGCTTTGACCAGAAAAAATGGTACACTAATCCATTGGTTGATCCTCGTTTTCCCGACAATCCACGGTGCTTTTGGGTGTACGGCAGAAGGGTTGACCAAATCCATATCCATTCCTGGTCATTTGTAGTAAACCATCTTTCTTTGGGTACCTGGATGAGCTTCCCCATACCGCAAGTGGCACTTTGGTAGAAAATTCTTTCTCAAGTTCGTTGAGAACCCCACCTCCTAATTTCATTGAGCCATCAGGTGTAAAAGTGTACTCTTTTCAAGTGGTACACATCACCACAGCTTTCCTCATTTTTTACGAATCAGGAAGCCTCAGGAAGCTCCAGTAATTGATCTAAAAAATCATGATTGCGTCCTATGGATTTCCCTCAAACCAATGACCAAGGCAATTAATCATTCGAATTATTCTCGACCACGCAACCTGCGCTTTGCAAACTCAAGTTCCAGCTCAACCACTGTCGCTGTCATTGTCTTGAACGCTTGCTACAATGAGCATCCAGACACTTGCTACAAAACACATCACAAAATCTGTTGGCGGATTGAAGCTCTTGGCGATATGAGCTGTGAAGTCAATGATTTTATGTTTTTTTTGTCGGATCAACATCTGTCAGAAGTTGAGAGTTGGGGTGAGCCCAAGTAACCCAGACCCATCTTGTTATATCATCCCACCTCTCCGGGCAAAGACTGACATGAAGAAACATGGAAATTCAAGTATACCGACGATACCCCCAAGATCGGAAAACAAATCCCATTAGAAACCACAGTTTTAATATATATACATATATACTCCCAACTGTGTTGAAGGGCCCAGGATGACTGGGTGACAACCCAAGTAGTGAACCAATAGTTACAGTATTCCGTGCTCCCAATTCTATGGACCTGTCACTGCAAGATATTGGGTAGATATCATTGGGTATATCATTGGAATACTACAGCTACCCAATAACTGCTCCTTCCCACTGGGAAGTTGATTGTATAGTAATAGACTTCCTACTCGCTGGATAACCATTACTGGAAGGAACGGTGTAATAACTAGTAAAAACCATTGAGAGGTGAGTGAGCGTCACCAGCGTTGGAAAAACCGTCAAAAACACGACCAATATTTGGCACTTCCAATCAAATGCATAATAACGGCATTCCTACAACGATTATTTCCTGATAAAGCCTTCTTCACAATCTATGTAGCATTGGCCACCCCACACTGAACCATATTTCCAACACACAAAGTAGCATCGACATATCCAAGATGAAGACTAGCTTGTAGGTGGGCAACAGTCCTGCAACAAGGATCCCTTTAAAAGAACAGGAATGCTTTACAATAAATATGGGATGGATTCAAACCGTTGAAACACGAGCCTTTCAGTATGTGTGGGAGCCACCTTGAAAGGATGCAGTAAAGCATGTATCCCATGGTTCCATGTAATAATCCTTTGACAAGGAGGAGGATCTACTTGAGAAAGTGAATCATCATTCAAATGTCTAGAGGCTCTAGGCAATATATAATCCTTTTATGGGCGTCTGGCTTTCCTTTAAGAAAGGCACCCTTGTACAGTGAGATTTTAATATTTCTCAAAGAGAGTGATGTATTGCTGTCAAACGTGTTGCATACCTCCGTGCATGATTCCCTAGACAAGACTGCTTTATTCCTTTGAGAAAATGTAGCCTTACTGGAAAGGAGAATCCTTCAGTGCAGCAACAATTCTTGTGAAATAACATGAAATCTTGGAAAAATGCATTCTTCAGTAGAGGTGGCAGTCCTGCTGGAAGAAGGCAGCATCATTTTGAGAGATAGTGTATATACAGCAATGCGGCAATGCTTTTATAAAAGATCATTCCGAATCATTCCATTTTAAGCCTGCAATGTTCATTGAATCTTTAGTTGAAAGCCAAGAATTTGCTGTCTACAGGCCTAACAATGTATATCGGCTAGCCCGAAACAACAATTCCACTTCATGTCGGACTCTCTGGCCGCCCACTCTGTTGCGAAACCATTGGGAATTCAATTCCAGCTATCCAAATGCCAGAAAGCCCAAAAAACAAAAAAAGAATCCAAAGATTTGCTCTTTGTTTTTTTTTTTGTTTTCTGGCACTTGGACAGGTGATGTACATCTCCAGAATTGAGGTCTCAATGGTTATTTTTCGGCAATGAGATGGACACCTAGTGCCAAATTTTTCGGCTGGATCTCACACATGCCGAAAAACCCAGAGCCGCTCACAGCGCTCACAGTTCTGTAACCATTACTACTGGATAACATATACCCATTACTACTAGTAAATACCGTAACTAGTAATGACCATTACTACTGGAGTAGTATTAACCATTACAATTCGTAAAAAAATAACTAGTAATGACCATTACTAAGGAGACTAATAACCATTACTATAGTATAGTAATGATCCAATATTTCATCATTACTTACTATTGGGTTATGACTATATAGAACCACTACACCTAATGGATTTTTAACATTGGATTAATATTGGGTTAATCCCATATAACCAGTACTAATCCAATATTTCATCATTAGTAAGTAATATGATAAATCCATCAATATATAATAAATATATCCCAATATTATAGTAATAATCCAATATTTCATAGTATAGTAGTAATCTAATAACTACTGAACCACAAAGATTGGGAGTACTTCCAATGGCGCGGCGCCTGGCGCCGCTCTTTCCCCTGGCACGCGCGCGCACATCTTCATGGTCGCGGCACACGGTGCGGGCGGACGGAACCGGAGAAACGTGAAACAGCCGGATTTCATGGTTTAACTGGGAAAAGGTGATCAAGAAGTGAAACATCCCACCAAAAATGGACTTTGGTGACTTAAACCACACAGCACAAATAGGAGTAGCAGCGAAATTCTATGGGGAGGATTTCAGCAACATGAAAACCTTTCACCGACCCAAAGGGTTTTTACCGCTGGGGTCGTAACACCTGATGGGGATCAGTATCCGCCTGTAGCCAGTATCTTAGACTGCAAGTGAGATGCTTCCAAAAATCGCTGATTTTTGTCCAAAAAAATGGTGGGAATTCCCGGCAATTTTCGATCCGCAGGCAGTCGATTGGGTGCCGGAGCCGACGCTTTTCAGGTGGGGTTGGTGGATATTGATGGTTTCAAAGAGATTTAAGATATCTTTTACATGAAGTTCTGTAAGAGTTTCTTTTGAGTGGATGGTTTCGACTTAGCTCTAAATCTGTTTTTTCCAGCCCGATTTGGGATAACTGACCCCAATTTTTTGGGTCCCGGGTTCGCTCAATCGCCAGTGTTTGAAGGTTTCAATCCACACAACATCCGGGAGAACTCAGAAGTAGCCCATACCTGGACCTGGATATGGGCCGTGGTTTTAAGATGTTTTGAGTTGTACCACTGGCTTGTTCGGGAATTTCTCACGATACCTCTAGATGGCATAAGCCTGGGTAAGTTGGCTTAGAACTATATAGATAAGTTTGATTTACGGTGGATATTTCTATAGTTCAGTGGGTTTGCACAGCGACAAACATTATATTGTGGGGGCCTTCCAACGTATATCTGGAAAGCGACTGGGATCCTAACTGATCATCTATCAAATGTTGGGATACTTTCTGGGCCAGCTTCCCATCCATCTTGGATTGCCCTCCAAAACGGCGTCGTTACACTTTGCCATGGCCCATCTCGTTCAAAGATTTACATCGTTAAACGTTAAACGTGGTGAGACTTCCACAGCAAACTGTTGAATTATCGGAGGGTCTCTCCCTAGCGATAGCCCAACCACAGGCCATTTCACTTATTTGAGGGATCATCAAACTGGCACCGGAGAGTATCCGGATATGTGACAGAAAACTTTAGAACATTTTTGGCCTTGTTGCGGACTGGACGTTACCAGCTCCAAAACATTCTTACATTTCACAACTGGCTCCGCGCAACCAATGGCATCCCCGATTTTGAGCATCCAAATATGATCAAACATGATATCAAGTGGGATCGGATAGTAAACATCAAAGATAGCATATTTAGTACTGATTGTGCATGTAGAGATGGGATATTCACATATATTAACCACCAATATCTATGGTTTTTGACCGACCAAATGACATACCAAATCAGTGAAATCACCACTGGTTTGTTGGGGAAATCACAATTTTTGATGATTAAATCAGAACTTTCGATGCTCGAGGCGTGTTGGAAACACGCGGCGCTATGCATCGCGCTTCCCCACACCCGTGAAAGATAGCAGAAGTGCCCCGATTCGCATGGGGGAGGCTTTTGGACTTGACTTAAACATGTATTTTTTAGGGGGAATCATCCCCTTGGGTCCGCTAAGGAAGAGGGGGGGCCTTATTTCAGGTTAGTGAATTATTATCATTTGCCCAGAAGAATGCCATGGTGATTTTATGGGTACCCAATCGGGACAATCCATCAAGAATAGTGTTTGTAGTGGATCAATGATCAGTAATGTGGTCAAGCCAATGCCATAAAGCTACCATGACTGGGGATGGTTTATACCACCCATTTCTGGTGATATGGTTTGTGGCAGTGAGTTTACCAAATAATGAAAATATAGCAGGGATTTAACATTTAACCAACTCTAAATGTGGATCTATTTGGCAATACATGGATTTTACCCAAAAACGAGGAATGCAAATAAAACACACTACAGAATGTATGGGGATTTTTTATGGGGGTGACATATCTTAATGCCAAATTCAAGGAGACCCCTGAATGAATAGATTCACCACATTCTACCAGAGCATTCAGGCTATTTTCGGGATCATCAAGTCGAGTTTTCTTTGCTACCTCATGGCATGACCTTGTTCACGTTGAACCAGCTTTGTAAGGAAAGTGATAGAAGATGATACTACAGTAGAACAAGACTTGGTTGCAATGATATACCCTCTGGTAAACCAACATAACTATGGAAAATCATTTTTTTTTAATGGGAAAATCAACTATTAATGGCCATTTTCAATAGCAAAAGGGTAAGCAACGAATTGGACTCACTGTCCTGAAAGTTCCCCAAGCCGACCACCCCACATCAAGTTTGAATGCTTGGCACCCCTGTAGCTCTTAGAATCTCTTAGGGTATATAATGGAAAACTATGTAATTCACCGAAAGCCTTTACAGTTTGAGGATTTGAGATTTGAGATGCAGAGCCAAGAGCTTCAAGTTCGATAGTGAGAGCTTGAATTCGGAGGGTTATCACTCAGATTCTTACACAGACTGAGTTTGTTAGGGACTATCAGAATAGATTGTGGGAATCTCGCTCTCAACCAAGCAGCAGATAGGACCAATGAACATCCAGATGTGACAGATCACCTTTTTGGGGCTGTCACTGCCAACAGCAATGGGGCCATTCTTCTGGCCCATTGTGCTAGATCAAAAAATCAGATCTCATCTAGCCGAATCTAGCCTCTGAATATAACCCAAATTTGGTGATCTCTCAAAATATCTTCCTGGTTGGTGGTTTCAAACATTTGGATTATTTTCCATTTCATATATGGGATGTCATCCTTCCCATTGACGAACTCCATCATTTTTCAAGATGGTTATTGCACCACCAACCAGCTATTATATATATATATAAACATTCACAACCTTTAACAACCATAGACAGACACTAATCCAACAAGCTTTACCCTCTGGTAAACTAACATAACTCTGGAAAATCACCATTTTTAATGGGAAAATCCACTATTTCTATGGCCATTTTCAATAGCTATTTTGACATAACCAGAGAGTAACAACCAGCTTCCCTATTTTCAATGGGAATTTCAGGAACCGAAATTCGAGGTACCTACCCCATATAAGGCGTATTTTTGAGGCCTATGTAAGGGATCCTGGAATTCCCATTGAACAAGCAGCTTCCCTATGCCAGATTGTAACGTGGACCTCTACGACGAGGTCTTTCGTCCCATGGGTGGGATCCTCAGAGTTGCCCCTCAGATAGAACGGCCGTTGGTGGTGACTGGAACCATGGAATTTTTAATGACTTTCCATATATATTGGGAATGGACAAATCATCCCAACTGACTTTCATATTTTTTATGATTTTCCATATATATATATATATTGGGAATGGAAAAATCATCCCAACGAAATTATATTTTTCAGAGGGGTGGCTATACCACCAACCAGCATAAATATAGTATAGTATATATATATAATAGAGAGATTTGATGGGGGAAATGGATAAGTCACTGGATTCAGGTGTCTCCATGATGCAATACGAGCGGCTCATGAGCTTTGCCAGCAAATGCAAGGTGCGGCCCGGCCCTCCTTAAACGATGCGTTAAACGATTGTTATAGAGTTCAGGGCCTAAACTGGGGTTATAGTTATGGTAGATATAACTAGAAGTAATACTAGTAAATTAGCTGGGTTAAAGCAATTTATATCACCGGCTGGTGGTTAGTTGGGTTATGAGCCCTACTGAGATGTATTGGGATAATCCAGCTACTGTAGTAGGCACAGGAGAACATCTACAAGTCATTTGGCAGTCCAGCTTCATGTGAATTCATGTGGGTTGCCAAGCAGACTTGATCCCTCTGTTTCCCCCATATTCAGAGACTTGATGGGCCCCGGTTGCCAAATGGGCCACTGGGTCGGACGAGTCAACCGTCGAAGTAGATCCAGGCGAGTGAGGGCTCGGTCGTGGTGAAGGGAGGCGAGCCGCACACGAGGCGCCAAGAGAGCGCCGTGGAGGGTCTGAAAATGCTGGGATTTACCAATGATCACCGCCCAATGATTTTGATCACTTGGAATCGATATTTGGAACAAGGTGTTTGGAACAAGGTGGTGCAACTCAGCTAAGTTGGCTACGAATATATATATATATATAATATAATATAATATAATATATATATATAATATAATATAATATATATATATATATAACTAGTTATAGAGTTAGATGGCAGCATAGCGACCCAGTGCCGGGCAGATTCTGCCTACTGACCTATGGCGTGGCCGTAGCACACAAACATCTTCCCGAGAGCCTTGGAAGGACTTGGAGGTGACGATTTAAAAAGAGGGGATTTACCATATGGTGAATGATGGTTCATGATGGTTAATGATGGTTAGTGATGGTTAATGATGGTTAATGATGGTTAGTGATGGTTAATGATGGTTCATGATGGTTCATGATGGTTAATGAACCATATATCTGAGTGGTTAATGATGGTTAATGATGGTTACCCTCTGGTGAACGTTTACATAACGAACTGGAAAGATCCACCCATTTTCTAGCTGGGTAAATCCACTATTTCGACTGGGCCATTTTCAATAGCTATTTTGACATAACCAGAGGGTAAACACCGACCAGTTTCTCCCGCAATATTTCTCCAGATGGTGATTTGGGTTCGTCTCCAGATGGGAAATGGAGCCACATTTGAAGAGCTGGAAGGGGATACCCCATTTCTGGGATATACGTGGATATACCAATTTCAATTGAGTACACCATCTATCACTCTCCATTTTTTTCTCATTTATCAGTGATTTATCAGAGCAAATTTTGACAGCACAGTCATGCTGGCTGAGTAGACATTGGTTTTGGTTGCTGAATGGCGTTATCAATTTAGCATCAATTTAGCGTCAAAATGGGGTATGGGTCTGAATTATCACCCACAAACAAATGGGTGAAAACTGAAAACAAGGATTTTTTCGTCCATTGCTACCTCCATTTTGATATATATATCGGTCATGTTTATTCATTCATGTTCCACAGCGTCATCTGGTACTGGATTCACTGCAGTTTTTTGGCAGCGAAACGCCACCGGAGTGTGTCAAAACCAATAGTACCCCTGTAGTTCACATCAAAATAGCTGGGATTTATGGATGTGAATAACCCCCTAAAAATGGTATTAATAGGTATTGATCCATACCCATGTTGTTGAAGTCCCCGTTCTCTTGTGAAACTCCCAACGTTGCTCGAAATTTCATGAAGGTCCCAGGTCCTGGGTGAATCAGAAGGACAGCATGTCACAGTGTTTTGGTGAAAGTCTGAGGAGTCCTGGAGAAGTGGGCCCTCCAATTTGTGCCTTGACGTTGCCCACCATTTTTCGAGGGAGAAAAACCTGGGAAAACGGGTGAAACCTGATGGTTTGAAGCCTCAGAAATCAGCGAGAAGTCAATAAAGATGGGTATTTCTATATTTGGTAGATAATATGACAATAAGAACAGATTTTATCTGAAGTGGTTAGCAACAATTGGCTTGAATGGCTATTTTTTACTGGCTATCCGTAAGTTTTTTGGGTCAGATGGGATATCTGGATAGGATTGATCCAACCCAGTAGACTCATGGCTCAGTGATGTTCATGGGCCATCACAACTGAGGGTGCCATCTGCCATCCTTGACGGATTTTGATGACTGGTTGAACATGGGGCAAACCTCACCACTTCACCGCGGTACTGTACTTAGATTGGCCATGAGTTAACTGGTTTGCAACTGGATCGTGCATACTGTGTATGTATATAATATGTATAATTATATATATCTGGTTGGTGGTTTGGAACATGAATTTTATGACTTTCCATGTATTGGGAATGATAACCCCAAGGGGTTGAAACCACCAACCAGATATATACATACATGCACAAGCGGGTATCTCATTGGCTACAACCTTCTGAATGTCAACCCCAGATTAAACCCTGGGGCTGTTCAGATGTCATCACTATTTGGGGGTACCCCTGATCCTTAATCTTAATCAACGAGGATTTAGTAATTCGGGGTTGACTTAGTTAGCTGGTTTGTAAGATTTTGCAACTGAACTGTATTCTCATTATTTCCTTGTAAGTGGCCATATCATGGGCCAACAGTACAACATCCCACATTGGTCACATAAGTTATAAGTTGGTTTAGAACCCCCATAAACTTTTGACAAACCTCCCATAAACCCTAGCTGCTATCAATTACTGACAGAAAAAACAACAGAACAGAGGGGAGTGCGCTAAATGCGCTACTTTGGGCAAAGCATTCTCTTCATTGGCAAAACCATTAAACGCAATCAATTTCTTCAATGCTGTCTGCACATTGCTCTTCTGCTTCGGCATCCAACAACAAAAAACAGCACCACAAAAAAACAAACAAAAACACACAACAAACAAAAAAAGCAAAAAAACAACGAAACAACAAGTCAATGGAGGTACATGATTGGTTGAGTTGAGACATAGAGTTATGTTTTGTGCTTTTGGTTTTCTCGAGGTTTTCATCAATTTCACTTCGGCCTTTCCCTGAGATCGAAAATTCTTCCTCCGGACTTCGTTGTGTCTGTTTCCACATGTCGGCATGCAGGAACCCTTCGTCAACAAGAAAATTAGACTCTTAAGAGGGACCTCTGAACTAAAAAGTCTATTGTTTTCGTTTTTTCAGGGTTTTCTGGGGTGGAAACCGTATTTTCTATTTTCTAGAACAGGAAGGCCTTATTTCCTATTTTCTGGAGGTGGTGGCTCTGTTTGCGTAATTTTCTTCTGAGCAAGGAATACCACCCTCTTTTCAAAGGAATGAACAAATATATTGCATCCTTTTCAAGGAAACTTGCATAGAGGGATGCTGCACTGTCCTCAAGGAATACCGTGGTCTCTTAAAGCGCAACTGCTTATTGAAGAATACCCTTTCAAAATAATGCTATACTTTCTGCAAGGAACACTATACTTCTTCAAATGGCAATTCCATGCATTGCGCTTTCTTACAGAAACATCACCCTCTTTCAAAGGGATTGTTGTATATATGAAAGGAATCCCCTTTTGTACAAAAACTTAAACCATACCATACTCAGCCATACTCTTTTACAAGAACTGCTGTGTGTCTTGAAGGCGACTTTCTCAAAGGGATGCTACATACTTTTGAAAGGAATATTGTGTATAGCTGTATATATATATAATACTATCATACAGTGAATTGTGTTATTCGAAAATTATATTGTATTTTCCAAATGAATAACATTTTTTCTTTTTCCGAAGTAATATGGCATAACACCATTTTTTAAATCAATATTTCATGAAGCCATCAAGTACTGTCTGAAAGGAATGCTGCTTTTTTGAAAAACACTATATAATGTATATGCAAATTATATCTTAAGGAAGTGCTACCCTTCTCGAAAAGGACTACTACCTCTATGGAAGGAATGACATATTTTCATTAAACAATATAGAAGACAGAACGCACTTGTTCTAAGGAATGCTATGCACATCTCAGGGTCTTGCTCTACACTTTCTCAAAGGAATGTTGCCCCCTCTGTAAAAGAATGTTGCACAGAGGTATGCCACAACTTCCTCAAGGAATGCCACATTCTTTCAAATTTCTAACGATGACTTATGAGAAGCATGCTGTTGCCCTTAAAATCTGAGTTGATACTGCACTAGGGTTTAAAAGCACAACATTTTTCAAGGAAACAGTATGCTTACCTTTGCGACACATTCCATATCTCTTTATGATGTAGGAGCTCTGTCAGGAAGATGCAGTACTGCTTGGGGACAAAATTAAATCTGCTGTCAATCAAAAGTGCAGTTTCCTCTTGTTCATGCTTGCTATAGAAAACATGCAACATAGAAGCAAACACAACCCTATCATTTGAGCATGGCGCAACAGGGCAAAATTGAATTATCCCTCTGATATTCACTGGCTCAATACAATACAATATTTCACAGCAAAACTGGCGATATTTTGGCATATTTCTACCAAATTAAAATTGTCTCAGCTGTTTGGCGGGTTTGCTTTCAGATCCTTGCAGTTTCTTGTTGCCTGATGTGCAAACTTAGATATGTACCGTATACACACAAGACTTGTAGCCAACCGTTCTTCCACAATACATACCTATATATATAGATAAGTATCTATATATGTATATGTGTATGGATGTATCATTGCCATTCTTATAGGGGTGCGATCTTGTTCATCCGCAGGGGTAGCCAGTAGCAATGACATAGAATCGTTGACAGCCTTATTTAGTTTCTCGTCGTGCATGTGCATTATGTTTAGCTTCTTGTGAACCCAGCTGGATGAATTTTCGAGGTATGCATCTTGCAGCAACCACGCTGGCAGATAGACAAGATCTTGAAGCAACATCAGTGAAGAAAACGCTCTCCCACAGTCCCCCGCTCTTAAAAAAACATATTTTTTTTGTACAGTAGAAAACCTAACATTAAGAAAATCTCGTATTACATTGTAGTACTAACATTCGAACATCTAACAGTACTGCTACAACCCATGACTAACAGGTAAAACACCTCCACATGAGTTATTCATATCCCAGAATATCCCCAAAAAATATCCCCATGAAATCACCAAAACTGGTTGGTGATTTGGAACATTAATTTTATTTTTCCATATATTCGGAATGTCATCATCCCAACTGACTCTCATATTTTTCAGAGGGGTGGCTATACCACCAACCAGATAATATTGTTGGTCAAAGCCCTACTGGGTAGCTTCAGATACACTCTGGTAATTTTACATAGCTATAGAAAATCACCATTTTCAATAGGTAAACCATCTATTTCCATGGGCCATTTTCCAGTTCGCAAACTGTAAACGTTTACCAGAGGATAATTTAACATAGCTATTGAAAATGGCCCATAGAAATAGTTGATTTACCCAGCTAGAAAATGGCGATTTTCCAGTTCGCAAACTGTAAACGTTTACCAGAGGGTAACCATCATTAACCATCATTAACCACTCAGATATATGGTTCATTAACCATCATTAACCATCATTTATGGTTTCCTCATTACCAGAGGGTACCCAGATACTCCTGGCGAACTGAGGTGTGTACATGGGTCGCCTGACTCCTCGCCAGAACCTGTCCGAGGAGGTGCGACAAAAGGCGCGGACGGATGGGGCCACGGATTTTCGGAGTTCCCATGATGGTTGAAGCAGCAGAAATGGAGGATTTACGTCTGGTTGGTGGTTTGGAACTCCAAATTTTGTGGGTTAAAGTCAAATCACCATTTATACCAGAACTTAGGTTATCATCATAGATACCCTCTTGTAAACGTTTACATAACGAACTGGAAAATCACCATTTTCTAGCTGGGTAAATCCACGATTTCTATGGCCATTTTCAATAGCTACGGAACAAATTGCCAGAGGATTTATGTGGTTTTCACTTACTTCCAAAAAAAAACGCTATTTTTTGGAATTGAGTCGAATCAACATTTTTTTGTCGATTTTTCAAGGCTTGTACGATGTAGCGTGAAACATATATGGGGATGTGATAAATGGTGGTTGGTTAATATGGATGTTTTAACTGATGATACTTCCTATCCGATGTTCATGGAGGGGGGCCGAAGAAACATCAAAGAGTTTCCCAATCTTGGTCTCTTTGGCGTTTTGTGAGATCTCTGCTTGATATTCTTATTGTGGACATATCCTTCTGGGATTTTTTGTTTTGTGGTATTGGGTCCGAAACGCAACTTGCGAAAGCCAGCCGTCAGGCTATGCTGTAGTTGTGTATTAACGAAGTGACGTTTGGGGGGCCAAACCATATGGCAAATGGTTGCTCTGTGGGACTGTGGGATATGGATACGTCACCTCAGGTGTGAAGATTAGATTTGTCCACGAGAAACAATAGCTCGATACAACCATTGAAAGCTCTGAGTGATTGTAGCAAGCCCCAAAAAGATAGAAAAGCAAATCCGTACTGAAATAGTGACACTTCCCTTTTCTATCTTTTCAAAGATTACCATATATTGTTTCTCCGAGAGAAATGCAACGGTTTGTGCAGCAAAATCTGTGCCATCTCCAAAAAAGTTCGCCGTTTTGATCGCTTTCAGCCGTGGCAGTCGCCGTGGTGGCAGCTCCACCCCAAAGTTGAACAGCACAATGATAGCTGCTTCATACGTGAACTATAGTGAACTATAGTGAACTGTTGCTGGTCAATTTGCAGTCTTGAAAATCACCACGAATAAGCCGCTATTAAGGGGGGTTTTATCATATTTTCTCCATTGAAGTGGCCGAATGGCCGAATCCCCATTTTCACTCACTGATCAACCATCAGATTCGGATGGTTGAATCCCCGGAAGATAGCATGAGTGATATGGCGGTAAGGTAACGCTTTTGCCCGTCATTGGTGGGGTGGTTATCCCATTTAATAAAGATAGTGTTTTCCACGTGATGGTTAAGTCATCATGTCTAACATGTCTAGGGCTAGCTGCGGAAAGTTCGCTGAATCCCCATGGAATTGAACAACTGATCTCCAATCATATGCCAATAAAACATCCCGATGAAATCTATCCACTTAAAATCAGATGATGAATCATAGCTTATGATCAATGATAGCTAAAGAAATCCCCATGATAAATATCTCCATTGCATCCCCATGAAATGTTCCTGTTTTAGTGTTGTTTTTTTTTTTTTTAATATATGGCAATTTTCGATGGTTGATCCCATGACGGAGGTGGTGATCTCATCATATCACCAGTATTCTTTATTTGATACATCCAGTCTTGTTGGTTAAATCAACCAAATTCAAACTGATGTGTTGTTCACCTTCGGACCCAAAAAAAGACGCTTGTGAAAAGCATAGGTTTGGAGCTACCTCAGGAAGATCTGTATATGATACCTCCAAATTTTGTGGATTAAATTACCATTTATACCACAACTTGGGTTATAAATCCTCACTCCCTTATATATTAGATGGTTAATCATAGGTTATCATCATAGATACCCTCTTCTAAACTAACATAACTATGGAAAATCATCATTTTCTAGCTGGATAAATCAGATAAATCAACCAACAATGGCCATTTTCAATAGCAATCTGTTGACATCACCAGAGATTCTGACAGGGCCCCGTCCGTGGCTCGGTGGTGGGCGGCTCCGCTCTAGTGGAGCCCAATGTGACGTCGACGCTGGGCGACATCGGAAGTTTGAATGAACTGACCCATATGAATGCGAAACTTATCAACCAACTGATATATGATATATATGTATATCTATAATATCTAATACAATATAATATAATATAATACAATATAATATTATATTATATTGTATTATATTATATTATATTATATTGTATTATATTATATTATATTGTATTATATTATATTATACTGTATTATATTATATTGTATTGTATTATATTGTATTGTATTATATTATATTGTATTATATTATATTATATTATAATATAATATAATTATTATATACATGTATATATATATATATAACATGAGATGGGATAGAACTATTATTCATGGCTCGCTTTGTTAAATATGTGGGTGACATGAACAGTGTACAGTGATTTTTTCCATCTGGGAACGGTGGTTTCATATGTTGGGGTGATGGTCCCCAACTGTGTAAGTGAACCAATCCCATCCCCACATTCAAGGGGCCTCCGATACGCGACACCATTAAAGGGCCCACATTTGGCAGAGCGAACTTGTTCAAAGTCTTGTGAAGTGTTGGGTTTTTGCCTATTTCAGGCGAAGCCATTTGGTTATAGAATGTTATATATATACATGGAAGCCTCATTTTGTGCCTCATTTTGGTGGTGTTGATCCATTGGTCCATGAAGGATTACATTTTTCACCACTAAGTGGTATCCTCCAAGTAGGTCGCAGGTGAATGGGTTGCCTTTTTGGTCACACAGGATGGGGCCCCAGTTCTTTGGCTAACTTGGTGAACATAACTACAGTATATTGTAGCAAGGTTGTGTATGATACCGAAATAATTCTATTTAGATGGTGTTATAAACCAACAAACATAACTCAGGGCACCATCCTGTAGCAATTTTTCTAACATTCTCTAGTGTCATCTCTTCAAAAGAGAAGACCCCGTTGAGGTTGTTACCACCCAGTGGGTCGTTCAATGGGGTCACATGCATGGTGGTTAAAACCCAGATGCGGATGATGAACCACATTGGCCATATTTCAGTCTGTTTGTAGGGGTCAAAAGGTCTGAGATCGCACTTTTTCATCAGGAAACCATCAACAACTCAGCAACATTTTCCAGTCCACCACATTTGTGCGAAAATAGTGCCAAATTTGATCGTCGATCATCTTTTTTTAGCGATTCAAACGCTAATTTCGGGGTAACCCCGGCCATTTTTTGGACAAAGCCGAATCAGTTTGATTCCCAGTTTACTGGTTAATCCGTATTTTTCATGATTAAACCCTATGGACAATCCATCTTTTCCCTGGGAAAAGTGCACCAAAATTGGATGGTCAAATTGCCAAGGAAAGCCTATCCAGCTGACATTATCGCAGCGGAGCCGACGGAGTGGTTGGAATGGGACTATGATGATTCTCACCTGGATGTCATCGATCGTCACCATGGTTCAATACTACCCGGCCTGGTGATTTGTTAAATAGCTATTGAAAATGGCCCAGTCGAAATAGTGGATTTTCCCAGCTATAAAATGGGTGGATTTTCCAGTTCGCTATGTTAACGTTTACCAGAGGGTAAGTCATGGTCATGACTTTTTTGAGGTGTGCTGACTTAGGAAAGCTTCGTTTTTGTGGGGATGAGTTGAGGATTTTTTAAAACACCCACAGGCCCCACAGAAAGTGTGTAGGATGATGCGGAATCCTGGATGCTGACATCAATCATCATTCCAACCATCATTTGGCACCTGGAATCATCCAATCATCTACAAAGATAGAAAGCTGTGTTCCCCAGCTGGTTATAGATGATGTTTAATACATATCATTTCCGGAAAAAAATCCGGGTGTCCCAGTTTTCTATCATGTTTTTTGGGGTTACTATACTATACTGGTTGGTGGTTTGGAACATTTTTTTATTTTCCCCAATAGTTGGGATGATGAAGCAATCTGACTTTCATATTTTTCAGGGGGGTAGGTATACCACCAACCAGTATATATATATAGTCCCATCTCTTTGGCTCCTGGCTTCAATGCTAGGACATGGGAGGTTTTTCGTGGATCTACCTGTATCATCTGAAGTGTAAAAACCGCGGGTCTAAAGTATGGTTGTGGCATGACGCTATAACACGATGGGTATATAACTATGGGTATTTCATGATGCTTGGAACTATGGTCATGAATGGGTACAAGTATGGTTATAACATGTTATAACCCCTGCAACAATGGCTGTTTCAGCGCTGCCCAAGGATTTGCAACGGATCATTGATGCTCCTGGCTGGCGAGCCGTGCAAGCAAGTTTCTACCATTTGTGCCGTGGCACTGCATTGATATTTTCGGTGATCGGGTTGGTCGTTTCACGAATATTTGTGGTTTTCCATCCTAGCGGTGCAGGAACCATGATGATTTCAATGAGCTTTATACTGTTAACATAGGTCCACAGATTAGTCAGTCGAGTGACCTTTGGATCATGGGCGTTGCTGTCGAGTGACCAGGACCTTATATACAGGAGTTCCGGGAAAAATGGATGATGGTGTACTTTCAAAATAAACCATATTAAAACCACAAGACTCTGACATCGGTTGGTTCTTGAGTGCCTTGACATGAAAACACCAAGATTGTATAGATACTGGATCTAGGACTTTCCAAAATCAGTGTGACATTATCCACAATTAGCTAAAATCAGTAGTGACATGTTTATCATTCCCCCATCCCCATCTTCTTACTGGTGCTAAACGTAGGGAATGGGCTTTTTTGGGATGATTGTTGTCATAGTTATAGACCTATGGATCATTCCCACATTCCCATCCATTCCCTACGTTTAGCGCCAGTAAGTCTCTTTTTTTAGCCCCAACTTTTCCGAAACGTCCTAGCGGTTCGGCAAGGCTCTATTTGGAGCTCCTTGGTGACGTGGCTGCAGATCTTCGAAAAACCCGAGTATCGACAGCTGCTTAAGTGATACAACATTTTATACAACCAACAGAGATATAGATAGCCTTAGGAGATATGTAACATATACTGTATTGTAACACTTGGATATCATGAAAACCTTGAGTCGAAACGTACGTAGAATGGGACAAAGTACCAACATGTTGCGGTAAAGTAGCCAAAGTTTATAAGGTGTCCTAGATGGTCTGGGTAGATACCTACATTAATACATGATTCTGGGCCAATCAAGCTGAATAGATTGGTAGATTCCCAAAGTCACTAGGCTTATTTGTGGTCTATGCCGTCTATGCCTTTTTTTACGCGTTACCCGCATGTAGACCAGCAATGCTGCTTGTACGTGTCTCGAAGGTGCGGCCAGCCTCCCAGATCAGGCCACAAGGGCTGCAAGAACTTCATGAAAGGGCAAAATTGACCGACACTTCAAAGGAAGAACGCTCCATTTTTAGAAAATGAAGGAACAGATTGAGTTGGCAGAGTGGGGTGTCCATACCCCGTCTCCGGCCTACGGGACATCACCTGCTTCCGTTTGGGGAAACGGTCGGGGTTGAGCCACCCGGTCGTCCGCTGGAAATGCTTGATTGCGAGGGATTTCCGGTTCATGCTTTATGATAACTCCCATGAAATCAATTGGAGTCATCACCGGGTTTGATCACGCTTGCATGTTTTTTTTTGTTTTAAACGGTATCCCTGGCATGAGAATCTCCATTGAGAAACTCTACGTGCATTTAATGAGTATATTGATCCCCACATGACCATCAACCATCATCTAGATTCATTAATATGGGATAATTGTGGGTTTGTCTAAAAATAGTGTCCCTCTCTAAATCTGTAGATTAATCATCATTTTCCCATATTTTCTCCGTTATTTATGGTCATTTGGCTCCATGAATAGAAGCACCATGGTATACCCCATTTTCAGACTGACCAAAAAATGATGGAATTTCCTGAAATAGGGGTACCCCCGGTCATCATCCATTTTAATAGGCTTTTCCCTGATAAACCATCCAGCTATTGGGGATCCTCCATTTATGGAAACCTCCAAAAAAAATACGGCCAGGCGCTGTGTGTTGCCCGGAAGGTTCAAATGGCGTTTAAACATGTTTAAACGTTATCCTTCAACATGCTCAAACACCTGTGCAGAGCCAGTGTTTTGAGATTTCCCAGACGACGAACCCTAAACCCTAAAACCCTAAAACCCTAAACCATCCTAAACCCTAAAACCCCAAACCCCAAAACTTCAAACCTAAAACCCAAAACCCTAAAACCTAGGCTCTGGAAACTTTGAATCCTAAAATGGAAGACACTGCGTATACACAGTATTTTCTGCAATCTCTCCTATCATATTATTCGACAGCACGACATTCTCAATGTTAATGTCTGGGCAACACACGGCGTCTGTGGGTAATTGTATACATGTGTATATATGTACTATTGATCATGAAATTCACCATTATGAACAAACATTAACCATCATTCACCATCATTAACATATCTGGTTGATGGTTTGGACCATTTTTTAATTTTAATAATATATGGGATAATCCTTCCCATTGACTTTCATATTTTTCAAGATGGATTGTAACCACCAGGATTTTTCCAAAGAGTTTGCAACCCAAACAGCCCAGACATGCCCTGACCATGGCCCCGACCATGGATTGTGACCACCAACCAGATATGTACCCTCTGGTAAACTAACATAGCTATGGAAAATCACCATTTTTTATGGGAAAATCCACTATAAATGGCCATTTTCAATGGCTATGTTAATTTACCAGAGGGTATATCACCAGTGACTCCTCATCTGATCAGACGTTTTCTAATGGTGGCTTCCACCTGCCCTTTTTTCTAGGCACCCTGGATCGGGATCGCGCGTCCAGGAAAACGGCCGAGGCCCAGGGAAAAAATCGAGGGATTTGATGTTTTTATACTGTGGATGGTTGCGAAATCCCGCAGTTAGTCGATGGTTTATCTAGGTATGGGTCAATACCTATAGATACATTTTAGTGGGATGAACATCCATGTACCAGCTATTTTGGGGTTCACTAGGTACCAGGGTTTTGACACACTGCCATATCATTATTTAGAGTGTTTTCTAGTTGCCAGAAGTTACCAACTGCAAGATTTTGCAACCAACCACAGTATTGATGTTGATGTTGCCGAGGCAAATGGGGTCAACACCAAGAGAAGTGGGTTATCATTTCCTGTGTCTCTTGCTTGGATTCCTTTTCGTTTGAATATACCCACATATATATGTACATGTATACATATATACTACATACATATTTTGATGTATATGATTTCTATCAACAGATATACAATAACTAGCTGGCCACCTAAATCAAGAAATAGAGAAGAACGGATGAGGCGCAGCTAGATGCGACCAAGACCAAAGTGGTGCCGGAGAACAAGGGACCTCCCAGTGACTGGGTCTCCCTGAGGGGTAAAGATGTGGTGGATATATGGACAATACTGGGTGTGTACATATGTATACAGTATACATATATAGTATACATATAGTATACATATATATATACACGTATATATATATATATATGTATATATATATATATGTATATGATGGGGTATGTGTATGTATATATATATGTACATATGTGCCATGGTCAAAACATGGTGAGTCTTTCCCTTTCAAGGAGATGGTGACAATCCATTGGGATGACCTGGGCTCCACATAGCATGTTTTGACCATGGCACATGTAGGATCATGTAGGGTTTTTTCTGGGCTTAAAACTCATAGATAATGAATAGATACTCAATTACAATATATCATATATCAATAACTATTGCCTAATTTTCTATATAATATCAGATATTGTAATATTCTATATAATATCTAATATATCTGCTAATATAGAATAATTGATCCTCATCTGATATAATGGGGATATATCTGGCACACATTTGTGATCAGTGATTCGATGCACAAGTTTGGATGTAATGGGGAGAATGATAGAAACCGATGACAAAGAATGATGGAATATGGGATCAAGTGGGATGAGAAGTCGTGGGATAAGTAGTTTAGCCAACCAAGATATATCTGGCAAAATATGGAACAAACACACACACACATATATATATGTATTTGTATAGAGGATAAATGATGCAACAAACAGAGCTATGGATATATATGGTGATTTATTCCTATCACATTCTATAATCACGAATCTGGGTGAAAGAAATAACGACCTCACTGTGACGTGAAAATATTAACGTAAATGATGACAATGATGGGAATCGGAATGGTCGATCATCCCCAAATGGCAGACACATAATCCAACAAGATTTGGCCATGGTTGACACCTGGGTACTATCAATTTTCATGTTACATCCTGCTATGTTCCAGTTATAAGGCCTTGTATCCTGCTGATTTTTGGGACTTACCTGTCGATTCTGGGTTGGTGATGGGGATGTTTCACCAGCAAAACGGAAGGATTTGAGCAACACACGTCAAACATGTTGACCCAGAATGTAGGAAATGATTCCCATTTTGATGGGCCAAAAACACAGTTTTTTTTGTGTTGTAAACCTCCAGCATCTTCTGCATTTGCGCTGCAGTCATTAACCGTGGCAATGGACCATCACACTGTTTTGAAGGCAACTGCCTGTTTTCCAGCCAGGGAGGTTTGATTGCTGGAGGGTAGCCTGATAAGAACCACCCGACAAGATTTGTTTAAACAACAGAGGCTGGGGTGATGTACCAATGAGTTCTGCGTAAAATTGTGACGACCACATACCGACCAGACCGACCTCAGCTGGCTTTAGTAATTAATACCAGAATTTGGGTGGTGACTTACCATCTATCTACCAGCTATGTTCAATGGCATGAACTCACATTTTGAACATATCTGCTTAGACCCCTATTATCCTATTCAGGTAGTGCTGGCTTTGCGATGTTTGATCACTGATTTCCAAGTTTTCAAAACATAAAACCGAAGTCATTAATTGTTGGTCATCCAATTTTCTGTTTCCCATGAGATGTCCGAATCCCAGGTTCCCAATCCGTGAAGAGTTCAAAGGTAAAACTTACCTTTTATGGCAAGTTGTCCGCTAAAATGTCAACATTTTACATCATAAAATGGCAGTAAATGTCAAATATATGAGATGCCAAACTAAGTTGATAAAAAAATGGAAGAGAAGAGTTCAATCCCATGAAAATTCCCTTTCAAACGACATTGAACTCCCATTTTTTTCCTTTTCGTTGGCTCTTCCCAGGCACCAAGCAGTTGGCGCAGCTCTGTTTGTTCGTGGCCGTGCCCTTTTTTGGCTTCGGCTTCGCGGACAACGCGTGGCTCGGTATCGAGATTTCCAAGTTGACATCGGCAAATCAAGGGTGTATAGTATGTACATATCTATATATTATCTTTATGTATATATATATATATCAGAATATCTATATCTATATCCAGGAATTACATATCTATCTATATCTATATATATAATATTCTATCTATATCCATGATTTTTAATTGTCCCGATGTATATTTCGTATCTCCATTGGTGAGATCCTTTCACCGTCCAAGGATCATGATCGTCTGCGGGGACTTCATCGATGCGCAGTTCGGCGTGATGTTCGGCCTGACCACCATGGCCTCAGCAGGTGCAACGGCAACGAAGCAAAAACCACCGGGGGGAAGGGGAAAAGATCTGGAAAATCTATGGAAATATCGGATTTCATGGGATTTTCATGGGATTTCTTTTATAGGACTACTTACTAGTTCGATGGTTTGTGTTGTTAGCAACTTATACCCTAAGATTTTATCCAAGATATATAGATGTGGGTGGAACAGCCACTATTTATATATCGATCATTTTCCGAGGGAAACAATGTGAGTTTTCCCACATCTATGTTAGTTTACTCCAGGGTCTTTGGAAAATTCAGATATGGGTATGGATCAATACCTATTAATACCATTTTTAGGGGGATGAACATCCATTTACCAGCTATGACTTGGGGTTCACTAGGTACCAGGGTTTTGACCCATCCCCATATGAAAAAATACATGTAAAAATCGGAGGAGATATCACTGCTTCGCAGACTGGTGATGAGTTTTTTAAACTGACAACTGATGATGAAACTGGCTATTCAATGGCATATCCAGATACACTGAATTCTTGGGTGGTGAATGGTTGGAACTGTGATCAGAGCTATGGGTGTCATGGGGAGTTGTCAAGAGCTACAAATTGATTTCCGAAAAATCAGTGGGGAGAAGTGCCAGGTGAATGGGTTGGTGAAGATTGGTGAAAATATGTTGAATTCTCGTGAAGGGTAGAACGGGTAGAAGTTTCTCAACAGAAATATGGGGATGTAACCAACCAGCCATTTTTCATGGTTCAATCCACATTTTGGCTTGTTAAATCAAATTCTTGGTGGCTCAATGACAGTTTTGATGGTTAAATTTATTTTGTTGTGATTCAATCCCACTTTTAGGCTATCCTGGAATCATTTTTTTGGCTCATCCACAAATGTTTCCACGGTGAATTCCAGACATTTTAGACATTTGCATCACAATTGTTGATGGATGTTGATGGTATGTTGGCATTTTTGTTGGGTTTGAACAGGTGAAGCCATCTTTTTTTACGTGGCAAGAAGGCCTGCTTGGTGGCATGTCGATCCTTGGTGGAGGCTTGGGCAACTGGCTCAGCGACACCATAGGCCTGGGCCTGGGCGATGTCATCGAGCGCACCGCGGGGAAGATGGGTCTGAGCAATGGCAATTTGTCGCCCGCGCAGGATGGCTGAATGATGGCTGGATGATGGCTGGATGAAGTTTTCGGTGTGTTGAAAGTGGGATGATTCCAATGATGGCTGGGAGAGTTTCAATGAAACGATGCAGTTTTTTTGGGATTTTTTGGTGAAACTTTGGGGGTGAAACCAGCATGTGCTTTCGGGGTTTGGCCGACATTTGGCTGGATGAATGATGTGGAGCCGTACTGATCCACACTGTACCCATTTGTTTGCAAAGGAATACACATACAAAGGCTTGGGCCAAGAAGGTGATTAAACTGGCTCAGATTTCGTCGTGAACGCGACTTCAGAGTCCATGACTTGCCCATGGTGTGTCCCCAAACTTAGTCATTTTGAGCAATGCTGGACCCTTACAGCATCTCTGAAGATCTTGCTGCAATGGGCTCACCATTTCTGTTGCTAATCGTTGGAAGGTCCAACGCAAAGCTACGACTCCTTAGACGATCTCTACACTTGAATTGTCATTTCTTTTTTTACCAGTTGTGATTCCTGGCGGCACCCTGGTTTTCATGTCAAGATGTCTGGTAAATGACTGTCCATCCCTGCATTCATACGGAAAATCATAGGTTTTTACTTTTTACCCACCCCCGGTATCCAAATTGATTTTCTTGTGGCTCAGATCTCCAGTGTTAATGTAATACCCTCCACCATTTCTTCCAGTTACGTTCTCAATTCTGTGTGATATTCCCAGTTATGTTGCTTGTAATCATCTTTAAACTTTAAGTGGAGCCCTGTGGTCGGGTCGTACCGGGTTATTTCCAGGAGCGCATGCAACCGGCGAAGCTGACAACGCTGGCGGGAAAACTTATTGGTATCACCCTGGGATGCTTTGCAGGCGAGGAGCTGTGGCAAATTGGCTGTGGATTTTTTGGGAACTGGAGAAGGAAGGAAAACGATTCTTTTTGAATGGGTTTCGGTCCGTTTGGGAATGCTTGGCGAAACGCGTGTTTTTTTTTTGTTTGCCGAATAACATAAGGGATTTTAGGCAACAAATATGGGTGGTAAGATGTGGTAAGCATTATTTATGGCTATGAACCCGTTCAGAGCAAGGCAACACAATTGGCGGACTTGGTTAGTAAGCAGCTAGGATCCCTCTGGTTATCGATCCCAGTTTGTACTGTAACTCGTTCGTATCCCGTATACAATTTAATAATCTATAATCTAGCTCGAGATATTCTATATATGGTATTATCCGACTTACCAAGTGGGTCGTACTCCCTAAGTAGATGGTTGCATCAAAGTCAACGTAGATATTTCCCTGCTGGGTGCGGTCATGAGGCAGAGCCCACCTTTGGGTACCTCTGTGGCGTCCTAAAATGGGGCTATCCCCAAATCCAAGTCATGGATGACCATTTTAGTATTGAAACCCATGGTTTTGGGGATCCCCAATTTCAGAACCACCCCAATATATGTATATATATATATGTATATATATTTATGCAAATACAAATACAAATACAAATACAAATACAAACACATACATACATACATGCATACATGCATACATGCATATACATAAAAATACATGCAAATACATGCATATACATGCATATACATGCATAAACATACATATACATGCGTAAACATGCATATACATGCATAAACATGCATAAACATGCATAAACATGCATATACATGCATATACATGCATACACATGCATATAAATGCATATACATGCATATACACGCATATACACGCATATACACGCATATACATACATATACATACATATACATGCATATACCTGCATATACGTGCATATACCTGCATATACGTGCATGTACATGCATATACATGTATACATGCATATACATTCATATATATACATACACATACATATGTACATATATACATATATACATATATACATATATACATATGTACATATATACATATATACGTATATACATATATACATATATACACATATACACATATACATATATACATATATACATAAATACATATATACATATATACATATATACATATATACATATATACATATATACATATACATATGTACAAATGTACATATGTAGACACATATATACATGTATACACATATACACATATACATTTATACGTGTATATAAATGCATATACATATACATATACATATACATATACATATACAGTATACATATACATACACATACACATAGACATATGTATATATATATATATGTATATATATATGTATATATATATGTATATGTATATGTAAATATGTATATATATAGATACATATTTGTATGTATATATATATGTGTATGTAAATGTATATATGTATATATATATGTATCTGTATATAAATGTACATATATACATATATATATGTACATATATACATATATATACATATATATATGTATACAACTATGTGTATATATATACATATGTGTATATATATACACATATATATATACATACATATATACACATATATACACATATATATATACTGTATACACATACATATATACACATACACACATATATATATATAGATATATATACATATATACACATATACATATATACATATATATATACATCAATATACATTTACATATATACATAAATATACATTTACATATATATATACACAAGTATATATATATATGTATATACAAGTATATATATATACATACATATATATATACAAGTATATATATATATATATTCGCATATAATATATATATATATTTATATAATATATATGTATATATATAATATATATATATGTATATTTAATATATATGTATAATATGTATATATAATATGTACATATATATCTATGCGTATATACATACATATATATGGGTATATACATACATATATATGCGTATATACATACATATATATATATATATACATACATACATATATATATACATTTATATATGTATATGTATATACGCATATATAGACATGTATAGACATATATAGACATATATAGACATATATAGACATATATAGACATATATAGACATATATAGACATATATAGACATATATAGACATATATATATACACATATATATAATATATATATGGTCATATACAAATATAATCCCCACAAATCAGTAAGGCTTTCTCAATTAGCGCTTTGGCGGGATATTTGCCAATAAAAACGGGGATATTGGGACAATTGGCAGTTTTATTGGTGATCAATTGCTGATGGGTTCAAGGTGCCACCCAGTTACAAGTTGGTTTATCATCTAACTGTCGATATCTTCCCAATAAACCCTAGTCATTGTAGTTACACACCAACTTAGCCAATGGAGCAGCACCTTCTACATCCTTTCAGTATCTTTTTTCCGAGCCATCCTCCTTTGTGTCGGTGCCTTTTTCCGCGAGGCATGGTGCCTTTGCTGTTCCTGAAACCCGCCAAGGTGGAGATTCCCAAAGAAGACCTAGAGGCAGGTTGGATGACCACGGTGAAGCTGCGATTTTATGATAGCCATGTCATTCATTTTTTTTGGGGAACCCAGCCAGCATCTGGTAGGTCAAGGGTGCGTAGGCGGATAGAATATGAGATAACTTTGGATAGAAGTTGAAGCAACGTATAAACACAGGGGATATGTCTGATATGTCTTGGAAGATTGGAGATTTCAACAAGAAATGAAGAATCCCAATCTCCAACTTCCAATGTGTATTGCAAGATACAATCATGAATGGTTGGTATTTGGACCGTTCTTAAAACCCTCAGCAAGCTGAAACAACGCAAAAATGCACTTTTTCAGTCGAGCCGCTGGCAGCACACCATGGGCTGAACATCAGAGTTGTTGGGTTTGGGGCTCGAAGTTGGATACCCCTAAAATAGGTTGGCTAATTAGGTACCCTCTGGTAAACTAACATAACTATGGAAATCTTCTCTATTTTTAATGGATAAATCAACTATAAATGGTCATTTTCAATAGCAAACTGTTAGTTTACCAGAGGCTAATGAACAAAATGGAAAGAAAGATCATGGTCCCATGGATTCTTAGTTTTCACCAACCATCACACACACACATATCTATCTATCTATCGATCGATCTATCTATCTATCTATCTATCTTTCTTAGTCTGACTTCTGCACAAAGAATTCCAAGTTGTGCTGGTTCAATCCGAAAATTCTTTCTTGGTATTGAAATCCGCACATTTTTATTTTCCAAAATTCTCATTTTGAGATGGTGAATCTCCCCAAGGATTTCTGTTTTTTGTATGGCAATTGTTCCTATCTTGGTGAACTCCCGAACTCGAGGGTTGAACCAAAAATCGGGGGACCCCTAGATCATCAGCGTTCAGTTGCCGAACAAAAAAGTGGCTGAATTAACTCTGGTTTATGGTAGATATAACGAACTAGTTAATGGGGGTAAAACAATGCCATAACCCACCCATGACTGGGAAGGGTAAACATATCGCCTATAAACATGGTCATTTGGGGGGTCGTTTATAGCATTGTTTTACCCACATTATATTCAGCCATATGAGGGTTTCTATAAATTAAATGGAGGTACCTCAATAGCTGGATGGTTTGTTTCATGGAAAATTAATAAAGTGGATGATGAAGGGGTACCCCCATTTTAGGAACCCTCCATATGTTGCTTCACCCACATTATGGGGTTTATCAAGCATCTTATAACTGGGTTTCTTCGTGTCGAGAGGTCTATGAGTCCACCTTCATGCCCTACGGTGTCTCCACAAATGCGCAGCTTGGCTTGGCGCTTCGACAGGGAGATGAGAAACCAAGAATGCCGGGGGTGAACCAACCAAAGCTATCTTTTTGTAAAGACACACACACACATATATATATGTATGATAAATATATATATATATATGCATGTAGGATATACATATGTATATATATATATATACATATATATATATATGTACTCATATGTATGTTTATTCACATGGACCCAAATACTTTCCGAGAAGGTACTTGCCCCCCTAAAACATACCCCAATACAGCGTAGGAAGGTACTTGGACCCACGTGGTATGTATAGAGTCCTCCTGGAGAAGATAGAATTATGGACATGTCAAAAATTCACTAGAATATGAATATGAATGAAAATTCCCTATTCTGTATACTTCAGGATGATTATATGCACAAGGTCACAAGGCTATGAGTCAATGCAATATAGAACCATAAATCCCAACCATTGCCCTCTGGCAACCAAACAGGCTAGAAAGTCCACCATTTAGTTGGACGATTTTCCTACTAACACTTTTTTCAGTTGCCAGGTTTAATTACCGCAGAGTATATACACACACACACACTATTTATTGCATTATATATATGTAACATGATATATATATATATAAATGTAACATATTATATATATAATCTATCTATACACATATTGTATTATCTATCTATATATCTATCTCTCTCTCTCTCTATATATATATGTGCATATGTATGTCTACATATACATAGTGCCTCCAAGATATTCCACCTGCCGAGTTCCCAGGTTCGTGCAGCTCATGAAGCACGCGGCACGGCGCCGGCAGGCCCCAGGCCACGTCATGGTGAAGGGCGGCGTGCCGTTTCCCAAGGCGACGGCTACGGGTCGTACGGGTCGTGGGAAATCCATAGTCGAGATATGGGATATACCGAGCAAGAAATGGTGATTTAATGGTGATTTAATGGTGATTTAATGGTGATATAGCAGAATATAACCAGCAAACAATGGTGATTTCATGGGATTCAAATAGATGTAACCAGCAAAAAATGGGATACAACCAGCAAAACGTGGGATATTTAAGGGAAAAGCTATAGGAAAGCATGGTTAACCATGAAATCTTGGGATGTCCTGGAATTTTATCCTTAAACCAAGCCAATGATTCATGGGGAACATAGTGCCTGGTATTTCATGGGAGTAGAATTTTGAATGGACGTAAATAGACTAAATGGGGATGCTGTGCCCGTAGTAGACATGCACTTTATTTAAAAACACCATGGAATTTTCATGATTTTCCTACAACATAATTCTTTCAACATCCAAGAGTTGTAGGAACATATGCCTTAATTTCATCGATTTCTATTGTGCAGCTAACCTTGAGATATATGATCGCAGTTTGCCAGAAACCATGCTTATATTGCCCAGCAGCGCATCCACACTAAGTGGGGTTCTTGCGGTAGGCGCCCCCTTCGGACCCCTGAGCGTGGAAATTTTCGGCCGTGCAGCTCACGTACCTCTTCTGAGGTAGATGTCGCCAAGTGCCACGCCTGCCACGTGAAACAAAGGTGGATGTCATGAAGTGCCACGCCTGCCACGCAAAGTGGCGCGGCGTGAAAGAGAGTGTGTGAAAGATAGTGTGTGGCAAAGATGGTGTGTGAAAGAGAGTGTGTGACAAAGTTGTGTGTGAAGATGGTGTGTGACAAAGGAGGTGTGTGAAAGAGAGTGTGTGACAAAGTTGTGTGTGAAAGATGGTGTGTGACAAATTTGTGTGTGACAAAGTTGTGTGACAAAGGAGGTGTGTGAAAGAGAGTGTGTGACAAAGTTGTGTGTGAAAGATGGTGTGTGACAAACTTGTGTGTGACAAAGTTGTGTGACAAAGGAGGTGTGTGAAAGAGAGTGTGTGACAAAGTTGTGTGTGAAAGATGGTGTGTGACAAATTTGTGTGTGACAAAGTGTGTGACAAAAGGAGGTGTGTGAAAGAGAGTGTGTGACAAAGTTGTGTGTGACAAAGTGTGTGACAAAGGAGGTGTGTTGTGTGACAAAGATGGTGTGTGACAAATTTGTGTGTGACAAAGTTGTGTGTGAAAGATGGTGTGTGACAAATTTGTGTGTGACAAAGTTGTGTGACAAAGGAGGTGTGTGAAAGAGAGTGTGTGACAAAGTTGTGTGTGAAAGATGGTGTGTGACAAATTTGTGTGTGACAAAGTTGTGTGACAAAGCAGGTGTGTGAAAGATGGTGTGTGACGAAATTGTGTGTGAAAGATGGTGTTTGACAAAGGAGGTGTGTGAAAGAGAGTGTGTGACAAAGTTGTGTGTGAAAGATGGTGTGTGACAAATTTGTGTGTGACAAAGTTGTGTGACAAAGGAGGTGTGTGAAAGAGAGTGTGTGACAAAGTTGTGTGTGAAAGATGGTGTGTGACAAATTTGTGTGTGACAAAGCTGTGTGACAAAGGAGGTGTGTGAAAGATGGTGTGTGACGAAATTGTGTGTGAAAGATGGTGTGTGACAAAGTTGTGTGTGACAAAGTTGTGTGAAAGAGGGTGTGTGGCAAAGATGGTGTGTGAAAGGGAGTGTGTGATAAAGATGGTGTGTGAAAGAGAGTGTGTGAGACAAAGTTGTGTGTGAAGATGGTGTGTGACAAAGATGGTGTGTGAAAGATAGTGTGTGAAAGAGAGCGTGGGACAAAGTTGGCGGAGGGGCGGGGCCGGGAGGAGCGGACGGGAGCGGGAGCGGGATACAGAATCAAAAACAAGAACCCATCAAAGATGTGGGGAAATATAAGAAAATCCGTGGGTTCCTCTCAAGGATAGTTGTGCAGAGATCCTGTGCGTTGAAAGGGCCCTTGTACAGAATCCAGCCTTCAAAATTTACAGGATTTCCTTGAAACGTTCCTCTTGCAGAGATCCAGTGCGTTCGTTTGGTGGATCATGGCAAACGGATCTTCTGAGTTCCCTTGCAAGGCGCTTACACAGAGATCATGTGAATCACCCAAAAGGGTCCTTCTAGGGTCCTTCTGCATGGATTCTGTGAGTTCTTGTTGTGGTTCCTTGTTCAGAATTCCCAAGAACTCTTGTCCAGGGTCCTCGTATAGAGACTTTGTGAGTTCCTGTGTTTTGTTAATTTTTTTGCACGGTCTTTGTTTGGAGATCTAGTGGGCTCCTCTAAACTTTCCTCATGCACAGATCCTCCTTTGAGTTCCTCTAAAAGATCCTTGATAGAGGCCCTGTGAGTTTCTTTAAAGGGCCCTTGCAATCTTCTGGGTTCTCTTGAGGGATCCACCTCATAAAATTGCCATAAAACATGGGGGAAACATGGGGAACACATGGGGAAACATGGGGAAAACTGGGAAAAGGAAGTATGAGTAACATTGATTAACCATCATTTTTTGTTGGGTACCATATTTTCAGACAAACTCGAATCAATAAACATCTACCATTTTACTCGTTCAATATTCTTGTTTTGCTCAACCACCACCAAACTGGGATGGTTTCCATTTTACTCCACCCAAAAAAAAATGCAGGACAACATTCAACAAGACCTGAATTTTGATATTATTTTCAGTATATCTCATCTAAACCCCATGTTTACTGCTTAAATGCAGATTTTCCAGGGTCAACTCCCCGTAATATCTCGTTTCTGTTGATAAAAAACACATGTGCGTGTCTGAAGGGCTGAGAAAACAACCAAATCAATTCATTTCTCATCATTTTCCCATCATTTTCCCATATTTTCCCTCTTCAAATAGCCACACTTTGTGGGCCGTCCATCCCTTACAGAGCCTGGCAGGTGATTCTGCTCTTGCGAGGAGAGGCCATTGCCATCAAAGTGGGCGAAGACGCTTCGGAGGTGCTAAATTACCATAGGATCCACCATCCCCATATGCTCCATGTATGGTATATTTACCTACATTTAAGTATGGGATATAGTAGATATAACATGATATAACTATAGTCTACTATAGTATTCATGGGATATGAAAACAAAAATCTGGGTAAATTCTAACGACCGAACCCTGTTCTCCCGAACCCTGGAATCATGGTTTATTTCAAGGGAATTATCCCAAAATAACCTTATTTCAGGTTAGTGAAGTATTATAATTTACCCAGATGTATGGATATATAGACACATCCCATTACTTCACCATTGGTCAACCATCTCCTCAAAATCACCACATAAAATGGGGCTATAAACATGTATAAACCATCAAAATATGGATGGTTCAATGGTTTAATGATTGCTTTACCAACAAAAAAAAAAACACATTGGCCAGAAAGGATAGGATGAAACCGCGACAATCCGACCACTCCATGCAGATTGTCAAGCGACCAAAGCCCTATAAACATTTGATTGAACAGCGGCATGATGACTTACCCTCTGGTTATTTAACAGTTTGCTATGGTATAGATAGCCCATTTATAGATGGTTTGCCTATTGAAAATGGTGATTTTCCATGGCTATGTTAAATAACCAGATGGTATCCATTATTGAGCCCGAGAATAGATCATTGGCATGACACTGCGCTTCATATTTCCTCTGCCAATCTTCCATTTCGCAACATCGCGGGTGGTCGAATCATTTTATTTTGGTTCCTATTTTTGCTGATGATTGGACATTTTCCTCTTTTTCGGGGGGTCCTTATATTTACATATATTTAGCAAATTTTGGCGGGGTACACATCCCAATTAGGTGATGTTTCTATGGAAGAGATGGTTGACCAATCCGAGGTGATTGACACCCGCAGTCAATGGATTGTTAGTTCCAGATCCTGCTTGGGATCCCCTCGGAGAGATTTTTGTTGAAAACGAGTTCAACAAAAATCCGATCACCCCTTCAATCAGAGGATGTCCGAAAAAATTCCTCCAGGGAATCAGTTAAACTATTGCTTTCCCATCATTTCCAGGTAACCATCATCAACCATCATTGAATCGCCAGGTGCCCTCGCTGGACGGCACTGGAGATCCAACCCACAAATACCTGGGGCGCTTAGAGGTCGACGGTCAGAAATTCCGTGGGATTGTACACTTTGAGACGCTTGAACCATGTTGAACCAAGAAAAAATGGGTGATTTCATGGGATTTTATAGGAATTTAACCAACAACAACATGTGATTTCATAGGATTTTAATGGAATTTAACGTTTCAAACATGGGATTTGAATGGGGATGATTGATTGTGAAGTAGTGTTAGTAAAGCAATGATAAACCATCCATATCTTGATGATTCATGCCACCCATAAAATTGATAAATTTGAGGATGGTTTACTATTGGTGAAGTAATGGGATATGTATGTATGTATATATGTATATATATATACATGCATATTCATGTTTTCTTTTTTTTTTAATTATGGTGATAATACTGATATTTGATGATATTTGATGGTTTATACCTAACCAACTATAAATAATTCCCTCCCCGTTCATATTAGTTGCACCGGGATGAAAGTCACATATTTGGGACCGTACAGTGGAGGTGTTTAATGTTGGGGCATGGGATTATAAGATGATATGAGATGCAAGTACTGGGGATAGGAGAGACGATTCGGATAATGAGAGATGATTCTGATATAGTGGCGATTTTATGGTACATATAGGCATTTGTTTATGGGATCTATTGCGGAAAATATGACATATATATATATACACACATATAATGAGGATAGCATGAGATCTTCAATGGGTCATACATTTTATACATTTGTTTACTGGTTGTTTTTTCAACGGTTCTGATCAAATGGACTTGCGAACACAACCGTTTTGTAGGAATATCTATCAAACAACTAGTACAATGAGATGGGATAGAGGTATTTTTCGCAGCTCATGCGACCAAATATGCCCCCAAATGGTGGCATTGTAATGAAGTAATGCCAGCCCGAATTGATGTTGACCATGGTTACTTGATCAACGGGCTTCCCCAAGGGTGACAAGGCAACAAGACAACAAGCACGGATTATATGAATGTGGGGTTGACATCATAAGATAATATGGTTGGTGGTTTGGAACATGACTTTTATTTTCCCCATCATATTGGGAATGTCATCATCCCAACTGACTTTTACTCCATCATTTTTCAGAGGGGTTGGTCAACCACCAACCAGTCATTACTATTAATCATCATTAACCATCATTAACCATATAATAACCATGGTATTAACCATTATTAACAGTATATTAACCAAATAAAATGGGGCCCACGAATGGGGAGCCACTGTCTCTGGGCGATTTTTAGTGACCTCATCGGGACCAAGTTGACGCCTTTTTTTGCACCGAAAATGGGAATCTCCCCATTTTATGGCCATGGGAAAAATGAACGGAGGGGTATTTTGCCAAGACAAAAGTTGATAAATGTGAGTATTTTGCCAAGTATTTTGCCATTTATGAACTTTAAACTGGATCAATGTGAGTGTTTTTCCAAGTATTTTTTTTCATGTATGATGTGAGTTTTTTTTTAGTCATGTTGCCATTTATGAACTTTGATCAACAGGATCATACATGGGAATAATATGTCATGTAAACTTGATAAAGCCGTGACTTTTCATGGGGATGATCCAAACTAAGTTGGGAGTGGTCAGTTGAGCAAATCCAACCGACCGCGGGAGTCATTTAGGGACCATTTAAGGGGATTTAGATATGGTATATATATATATATATATTTATACCATTTAAGGGGATATAAATATATACCATTTGGCGTAATTTTGAAACTTTTGAAACTTTCGACAATTTGGGAAGATTTGCTCTGTTGCTTTGTTGAAAAACTGGGGCCGCCCGGTGGTGGAGTCGACTGCTCCTTGATTTTTGGGCCCGTTTAGTTCAATTCCAGCCATCACCACTTTTGTTGAATTTCATCAGATTCCCATCATCTTTGCGAGTAACATCCGTATATTTTGGTAGTTGTTACGAAATACTCCGTTAAATTTCTGCTGATTCATGCCGGTTCAATTTTCAGAATCCTAGAACCTTCATTTCTTGGGTGAAGACACTCTCCCCCATTTTTGCCCAGAAAAGTACGCATAGTAGATATATGTTACAATCTTATGTAAACATAGTGTTAAACCATATCGTAATGTACAAACACATTATCAGATTCATATTATAGTACATAATACATATATATATATAGACATGGTTTGATCTATATTGACACACACACACACACTGATATTAATAACAAAAAAACACCAAGATGCGGCGCAGGGTGATGAGCCCAGCAGCTCGCCGGTGCTGCGAAGCCTCTGCTCCCATGGATCCGTGGTGTTCCTTGGCGCGCTGGAAGCCATGAATGTTCACCTGAAAATGGTGTTTTTTTTCCACATCTATGTTAGTTTACCGAGTATATATTTTTGGTATATATATATATGGTACATATATATATATATATATACATATGGTATATATATTAGGTGTATATATATACCATATATATATACATATGGTATATATTTTGGTATATATATGGTGTATATATATATATGGTATATATATATATATGGTATATATATATATACCGAATATATATATATGGCATATATTTTTGGTATATATATATATATATGGTATATATTTTTGGTATATATATATATGTATAATATAGTATATATATATGGTGTATACATATATGGTATATATATATATGGTGTATATATATATATGGTATGTATGTATATATATATATGGTATATATATGGTATATTTATGGTATATATATGGTATATATATATATGATATATATATATATGGTATATAATTATGGTATATATATATATGTATATGGAGTATAGATACATATTGCATATATTTCTGGTATATATATATATTTCTGGTATATATATATATGGTGTGTATACATTATATATTTATAAATGGTATATATATATATGGCAGATATATCTTTTTTAGTATATATATGGCATATAGTTTTGGTATATATATATATGGTATATATATATATGTTATATATATATGATATATAAATGGTATATACATATATGGTATATATATATATACACGGGATGACATGGGTTATATATGAATGACCACTTACATGCTAAGGGGGATGGATCAACCACAGATCCTAGTGGGGTCAAGATGTCAAGGAAGCCGCCAAAATTCCCCGCAAAGACAGACACATTATTGCAGGATGTCACGGATGATGTTTGCTTCATAATTTCCACTGGAAATCATTGTTAATAAGGGGAATAATCCCCAAATGGCCGCACTATTCATGTTAGTGAATTATTATAATTTGCCCAGATAATTTCCAGGCTTCGATTTTCTATGTATTTTGGGGTGGTATAACTTGGCAAAGCCACTTAAGTGCGCGAAGCGCCAAGGTTCCTCAAATAGCTGGGGACTGGACGAGTGCATAATCACGTAGACATGCACCATGCGCACAGTATGCAGAAGTGAGTGTTTCTTTCTTTACTCAACAAAGATTCGTGGATTTCATGCACAATATGTGGGATATGGTACATCTTACAGCGCTTGGCCCTTTGACACTCACACACACATCTAGCAGGGATGAATTTTCCTCAGGAAGGACTTGGTCTTTATGGGTGTCTAGCCACATATGCTGTGGTCATCTTCATTCAATAGAAGATTCCCCGTTGATACATATGTCTGGGTAAATTATAACGACCTCACTGTTCTCCCTCACTGGAATCATGGTTTATTTCAGGGAAATCATGCCCAAATGGCCGCACTATTCAGGTTAGTGAAATATTATAATTTACCCATATATATATTTCCATTTGTTCCACAAGTCCATATAAATCCAGATTTACACATTTACACCCATCATGTTGCTTATCCTGCTGTAGATGTTCCAATTCCATTTCCAGATTTCCAGATTTTGCTTCAGCATGGCCACAGTTGCTGGACTCATGTAGCCCGGATACAACTGTGACGATTCCCACTTTAACGTCAATTTCCTCTTAAAAGTGCAAAATAAACCTGTTAAAACTTGGCCCCTTGTCTGGGATTATCCCGTTTTTTTTTCTGGATCCAAACACCATGGCTACTTCCCACTCCTACTGTTAAGTGGAACAAGTACCGAGAGCTTTGAACGTATCCACGCTTGTACAGCCGCATGTGGTTTTTTACTCATCTATTTCTTAACCGTTTTAATGGGTAAGCGGAGTGGCCATCAATCACAAGAGGACTTTTGCTATGGCACCCACATATGGGTCACGTCAATCGCAGAATGTTGGGGAACATCTTCCGCAACACCTCATAAACACGGATGGTACCAGCGAAGACCAATGGGGTAATGTCCGCATTGTCCACATCCCAGTAGTACCCCCCCCGGGGATTTCGGGCACTTTACAGCGGAGGGATTGTCCTCAGATCACCCGGTGATCAGCTTGAGGAATGGCACTGCTATCTCGAACCCCGCCAGGGTGGAGCAAGACTATCCCAGTGCTACTTGACCAGTGCAGCTAAGGCCCTTTATCAATTATAAATGGTTAAAAATGGGGTTATACGTTCCATAAATGGGGTTATAACTGACTTATCACTGGTATTTCGGGCCATAATTGTGGGAAATGATTCTTTTCCGTCCTGGTGAAGTAAAACCTGGGTTTGTTTCGTCGGTGATTTGTGACTTTTTTCCCAATCTGAAATCCATCATGACTGGGGAATCTCGGTTGGGAAAAGTTGAGTAGGTCGACGCTTTTGTTTGCCACCGAGGACAGTTTCTGAGCCTAAGCAGGATCAATGCTTGTGTTTTTTTTTTTATAAATTAGTAATATATATATATTTATGTATATATCTCGGTAGACCCCATTGTTTTTCCCAGGTATTGGAGAATGTTGGCGCTCGTTTCAAACCAGAACAGTTGTAGGGATCATGACAGCAAAAGTTGGACCTGGCAGTCCTGGTTTTTTGGATTTTGAGGTAACTTGTTACATGTTGGTTTTTTGGGGTGCCAATGGCGCCAGAGTCATGATCTTTTCACGATGGGTTTTTGGGGTTTTCCAATCGGGTGAAGCCCAGCTCCCGTCACCTGCCCATGATTTCAGCGGTCCAGCAATGTGGACTGCTCCACGTTCTGGGAGCAGTCCAGGTGTATTTGCCACGGCAGTGAAGCAAGGGATGTTTTGAAGACCCCCAAAAAGGGGCGGGTTTTTTCCCTGATGATCAACATTACAGTAGGTTATGTAATTTTGATTATGGTCATTGATATTCATTGATCAAGTTTCCAACTTGACCAACATATTCTTTGAGTTCGTTCATAGCATCCAGGATTTTGCTGCTGCCAAGGATGTGATTGCAGAGAGCCCGGTGGAATACTTGGAGTGCCTTGGTGGAAGGCGATGGACGTCACATCTGGTCACCAGATGAATGAAAACACTGGCCTTTTCGCAGCAATTTTTTGACTTTAGGTTTTCAAAATTTAGGTTTTTTATTCAGCTTTTAGGCTTTTAGGGTTTTAGGTTTTGGAAGTCAAAAAAACGCTAGCCCTACGCAGGGATTTGAGCATGTCAAAGATATGCGTGGCGGTCGAACGTGGGGTTTGCAGTGAAGATGATTCTATTGGATTTTTATGTAAAACAGGAGGCCCATGGCAAGAACTATCAGGTCACTTTGCCCAGCAAGATGGGGTCCAAAAGTGGGGTATACTCCAACATGCCCATTGAATAAGGAACCTGACAATTAACTAGTGGATTTTGGGCTTAGGGTACCCCATTTTCAGACAAACATTGGAAAAATCCACTTTTTTGGGGGGTCTGTGTGGATTTGGTCATTTCCGCATCTATTCTGAAGGCAAAGTCCCCATTTTGGCACCAAAATTTCGTAGTTCATCATTACCTTCATGGGAAGTCCACATGGCCGAACCAAATCTGCTTCGGGGGTTTAACCATCTAACTTGGGTATATATATATATATGTATACATATGTATATACATATAATATTATATCATATCATATCATATCCATATCCATATCCATATCATATAATATCCATATCCATATCCATATCATATCATGTCATATATATATATGATATGATTGGTGGATTTTCAACATCTTTCAAGCCTAGAAAAGACGGGGAAATTGGAGCAGTTCACGGCCCCGAAATCAGGTGGGAGTACAAGGACTTGATGGAGATCATGAAGGCCGGGACAGTTGGGGGATGATCCGAATGGGTTCGCCTCTGGTAATTGGTTCGCCATAACTATCATAGAATTGGATGATGGGAAAATTTACTGGTAAAATCCATGGTAAAATCCATGGTTGATGGTAAAATCCATGGTTTACTGATAGAAAACCCTATATTTGATGGTAAAATCCATGGTTTCCTGTAGATTTTCCCTTAAACCAATCCATTGAAACTATTGAACATGGCCATTTAGTTCGCTGATTTACCTATGTTTCACATGGTGATTTTCCAGTTCACTGTATGTTTACCAAAGGGTAGAATTCAGAATCAAACATTTTCCAATTTCGGACCGCTGATTTTGTGTCATCAAATTTCACTTGTTGGATCACTTTTTCCACATTATATTTATATCATTTTATATGCATATATATATATTTATTTATTCATATCCATATCCATATCCATATCTATAGATCTACATTAATATCTATATCATTTAGATTTTTATCCAGCTCTCATATCACATAATATATTATATCTCCATATATATAATATCCCATATTATCCACATATATATATGTACATACATAATATCACATCTTATCTCTCTCTCTCTATATATATATGTATACATATATGTATATATATACACATACGGCAATTGCCTGGGTTTTGCCCCGAAACGCAACGACGACGGGCAACTCATCATCATCATCATCATTAATTGATTGTAGATTTTAACGGGGGTGGGATTTAAATATTCCTTAAAACTTTTATCTTCCCAATGGAATGTAGAGTTCAACGGGGGCCGGATTCTAATACTCCCTAATACCTTTGTTGATTTTCCCAATTGAATGTAAAGTTGCAACAGCATTTGATTGGGAAAAGGAACCCTCTACGCTGCAACGGTGGGGCAAAGCCCTTGCGCGTATATATGTAAATAAATATATATATATACATACATACATGCATGCATGCATTACATCACATCACATTACATTACATTACATTACATCACATTACATTACATTACGTTACGTTACATTACATATATATATATATATACCCCCCTTGGCTATCTATCGCTTGCCCGGACGCATTCCCCCGCGTTTGCTCCAGGAAGACGCCAGTATTCAGGCGAGTATCGTCTCGCTGCTCTTCCATGAGGCCGAAAGCGTCGTGGTTTCGTCACGGTTTCGTCACAACGAAGCCCGGAAAATGGGGATCTCCATGGGGGGATCGATGATCTATATCTATATATATAATATATATATATGTATATCATTGATATCCCATTATCCCAAAGATTTACTTAGACCCCATGAATATTCCAGTAATAATGTATATATATATATATGTATATATACCATTGATATTCTATTATGTTCCATGAATATCATATTCCAGTCATAGTCCATTTATATACAGTATATACCCTCTGGTTATTTAACGTAGCTATTGGACATGGCCCATTTATAGATGATAAAGATGATGATTTACCTATTAAAGATGGTGATTTTTCATAGCCACGTTAAATAACCAGAGGGTATATACTGTATACAAATGGACTATGAATGGAATATGATATTCATGGAACATAATAGAATATCAATGGTATATACATATATATATATATATACACATATACATATATATATACACATACATTATTACTGGAATATTCATGGGGTCTAAGGAAATCTTTGGGATAATGGGATATCGGTGATATATATATATATAAATGGACTATGAAAGGGATATCATATTCATGGGATGTAATTGAATATCAATGGAATATGAAAGGGATATAATAGAATATTCATGGGATATTGATGGAACATTGATATTGATGGCCTATTTTCATGGGGACTTAGATGGAAGATAAATAGAACATTGATGGAATATTATTGGGAAATTAATGGAATATTCATGGGATACTGATGTCATATTCATGGGGCATAATGGGATTTTAATGGGATGTGAATGGACGATTGGTTGAAAACCCTCCGGTGTCATCAAAGATGGCTGGGAAATCCCTGAAGTAAATAGGCAATATTGGCATGGATCAACGCCTATGCAAAAAAAGGGGGATGACAGGTACCATGAATCGCAGCTATTTGAGTCCCAACTACAGGGTAGCAGGGTTTGGACTCATTGCATCTCATGCCCATATGAGAAATACTGGAAGATATATTCCCATTATGTTCCTTCAAAACAACCAGACTTGGAAATCATCAGCATTTTATGAGGATATATATATATATATATGTATATATCTGGGTAAATTATAACGACCTCACTGCGACCTCACTGGGAATCATGGTTAATAAGGGAAATCATCCCCAAATGGCCTTAATTCAGGCTAGTGAATTATTATAATTTACCCATATATATATAATAACGGGATAGAACCACCATTTTTTTTGGGTGGTGACACATGATCCCGACCTTCAAATCTGGTGAAAACTGCGAGGGAAGATGACGGCTTTCCCTACTTCGGTTGGTTCCTGAAGAATCTTAGATTTTACCCTCTGGTTATTTAACATAGCCATGGAAATTCACCATTTTTAATAGGTAAACCATCTATAAATGGGCCATTTTCCATGGCTATGTTAAATAACCAGAGGGTAAATCCCATTTTTCTTGGTGAACTTTCCATTTTGGTCAGTCACCGGACAGACTTGCCGGTCAACCAACCAATCTTGACAGATGGTGAGCTATGTCTCCACCAACAATCCTGCTCAGAGAAGTTGGGGACCCGGCACGGGGTCTGTCCAAGACTTGGCGTTAAAAGCCATCCCCAAAAGGGGAAAATTTTGGGGATGCTTCATGGAGGTATGATGGGGATGATTGGTGAAACCTCTAAAAATGTGGTTTTTGCACAGGGTATCCAGCCACCAACGGCTGATCATTCTTAGATGGGGTAAAAGGTGCAACCTTTTTCTTTGGGCTGTCTTGAAGAACTTGTGATACATATCGTATGTCCTAATAGACTATACTAGAAATACTTGTCTGCAAGTATATACACGTATGCATATGTTTTCCTGTTTGAACTCCAAGTATGTGGATGGTCAGAAGCACAGTTTTTTGCTAAGAAGTCCCTTTGTTGATGGCAATACCTGTGGCATCTCTCAGCCCTATTCCTGGGCTTGATATGGTGATTCTATGGGTACCCGATTCTATCCAGTGATGAACAACATTATCATCCCACACACATATATATATATATATACATAATCATATATATATATATACATAATCATATATAATCATATATAATTATATATAATTATATATAATTATATATAATTATATATGATTATATAATCCCTATGAAAGTGCTCATAGGCTGAGGGTACTTACAAATATATATAATTATATATATATATATTCCCATCATATCTCCATCTCCATTACATCCCTATTAAAAAAAATCCATTAGAACCCTAGTCGATCCCCATTGAGGTCGGCTATACAAGGTGCTGATGATGGCAGTTCTGGCCGATGGTGCGCGAAAGCTCTTTTTTCTGCAGCAGCTCTGGGCTTTCACCAGCTCGGGGGTTGGATGAAATGCCATGGGAGCACATGGGGGACCCAAATTCAGACACACACTATATCACGAAGCCAAGCCCCATTTCACGAATAGACACCCCTTTTTGTTGGAGTAAAATCCGAATTCAACCATATTCAATCACATTGTAATACTCATTGATATCCACCTTTTAGCCCCATGTATAACCGTTTTTTCCCCTGCAGATATATGTTCAGCCCCATGGTGTGACCAGCTGCCAGTCAGACGTGCCAGGAAAAGTGGATGAATCTGAGAGAAGGCTCCTGAACAAATACAGGTGCGACGCATTGGGCGCTGACTCATTGGAAGATATCGAATCGCTCAAAAGCACAGCTTTTTTTTTTTGGCATCAACCAATCAACCACAGCTGGATCCGGTCATTTTTATTCATTTTTTGGGTAGTTTCCTTCCAATGTCAGATTTTTTCAAGGGATGGTTATACCGGGTATATTTTTCCACATCCGGAATCTCTTTTCAGGGTAAAAATCACATCCCCTTGGGGATAGATCAGCGCTTTCCAGGCAACACGGTCTTGGTTGGTCTCCTTCCCCAATGAAAAAGACTTAGATCCCAGGGGCCAATCCTGAGATGATACTTGTTGATGACTTCAACTTGAATTCACCATCCGAAATATATATATTTTCCATTCATCTTTCGTAAATCGCTGCCACCCCAAGAAACTTGGCCCTGTTTTTCCGGTGAAACAGCAGTGGCCTGGCCACAAAAATCGAGGTTTCCCCAGGGATCGGTGGATGACAGGGGGTACCATGGAGACCTCGATGTCACCGGATCAGGGAAAGTCATCGGATCTCAGAGCAAGAACATCTCAACGTCCTGGAAGAACTGGACTGGACAGAGGCAGGGAATGGCAGGGACAGAGGCAGGGAGTTTGGGGGGTCATGGACCATGACAATTCTACAGACTTTTTATAGATGAGTAGCATTGATGACTTATGACTTGAGTTATATATATATTTAAAATAGATGAGTAGCATTATTGTGCTTATCGTCATTGATGATATTTTGGTTGATGAGTAGCAGCCAAGCATGGCCATATCCAACATCAATGGTGACAATGACAAATTAAATTGGGCACGCATGTATCAGCAAAGCCCCAGCAAATCAAGTTTGATACGGTGGGTGGTTGTGAAATCCTGCACCAGTTGATAGGTGGTTTATCCCATTAGTTATAGGGGTTCAACCATCCAAGGTGGTGCAAGATTTCGCAACCATCCACAGTATTTCTGAATAGTTGTGAATACCAGCTCTAAATCACTGGTTGGTCGTTTCAAATATGTTTTATTTTCCATAATATATGGGATAATCCTTCATATTGGTCACAGTATTTCTGAATATTTGGGTTTGTCTGAAAATAGGGTATACCCCCAATTATAGCCATTTAATAGGGATAATGATCAGCAAAACCATTGGGTGTAGGGGTACACAACATTTTCAGACAAACCCATTTATGGTCGTGTTGTCCACACTAATCTTGGCTTCGCAAAAACTGGCGATCCGGACATGTTTTTTGGCTCCTGCTGGGCTCAGTGGGCCCCTATCCATCAGTGCCACAAGCTGGGCCCCTCACGTTTTAAGTTGATTTATCAACCCCATTGCCTATAGCTATATATATATATACGCATACACACCAGCTATATACATATACATATACATGACATATATATATATAAATATACATATACATATACATATACATATACATATACATATACATAGACATAGACATAGACATATACATATACATATACATATACGTACGTACATACGTACATATACGTACATATATACGTACATATATACGTCATATATATATATATAGACACACACACACCAGTTATGTATACATATATACACATAGAGCCCCCATAAGCCGCATAAACCCTAGTGAAGCTACTGAACCCAGGGTACCCCCGCGTCCCAGGCGGGTTGGCGCCGCGGCTGGATGCACCCGGAGAACTTCTCGGAACAGGAAAGGGCGGCTAAGGCGGCTGGCTGCACAACCAACTTCGCAAGCGTGGAAACTAGTGATGGGTAACCAAACAAACAAACACTTATGATTGGATTTAATGATATTTTATGTACATTTATGTACATTTATGTATATTTATGAAATCCCAAACAAACACACATTGGCATGGAAACTATTTATGTATATTTTGGATTTCATTCCCAGTCTTTTTTGGTGATATGGATTTAACACTTATAGACTTATAGATGTTACTATTCATGATGATGGTTGATAGTACTAGAAATTGAACAATTATTTCTTTTTGTTTACCTCATTTTGATGAGTTGATGTAACATGATGTAACACTCGATCATTTTTGATTATGGGTAACCAAACAACCCAACACTTTTGTTGATAGTATTCATGTTTGTTTGAACAAGGAGTAATTCTCCCAAATCCACGGGTTGACAATTTTTTGGGTTTCAGACCGATGAAACGAACATCGTTGGTCGGCGTTTAGCCATTCGCAGACCGATCTTTCAATTTTTGGCAAGATAATTTTGTCACAAACCCAATCCATTCTATGTAAATTATAGCCACAAGAGAGGGAAATTGGTCATTTAACCACTTTATCTACCAAGTTCCCCCCCCTTGTATTTGGGGTGTTGGGAGCAACCTTGCAAACATCTAACCAGCGCCGGTCCCATCTATGGGATCGACAGGAGATCACGGAGAACCACACCTTCCAGGCACGTTTGGACTTTTTTTTTAAAGGATGAGAAGAGTCAGAAAACAATCTGAGGATGAGATCATCAATGGTTTGTTAATGGTTTGTTAATGGTTTTTTTAAATGTTTCTTAATGTTTTTTTTCACCTAATCCTAATTTGCTAACCCAGGATTAGATGATGTAAAACCACCAGCTTACTAGTAGTGGGTACCAAGTTTGATAGGATTTTGTTCCACTATTTTTGAGGTCATTCTAAATCATCAACAGAGTTTAGGGATGCGGGGTTGACATTGACCACCAACAGCCAAGGACATTTTTGGGCAAATCTGAACCCATCGATGTTTCTTGGGGGCCGACCTTTTGGGCAGCTTCGAACATGAACAGAGCGTTGATACCATGATTGGAAGATCGTTTTCGAGGTGAATCCTACAGTTTCTAATTTTGCTCCTTTTCTTTTTCACAGGCTGAAATTTGAGAGCGTTCCCGTCCTTATGACAAGGGTTTGGAATATTTCATCGTCTTTCAGAGAGAATCAACGCCAGAAAGCCAGACATTCCAGACACTCGCCTCAACTCGCGAACATGAAAAAGCCATGCCACTCGTTGTGGTGAATCTCCTCGAAATGTCAATGCCCAGATTAGCAAAGCGAGGACCTGATGAAAAAGGTGATGAAAAACAGCTATTGAAAATGCCCATTTATAGTTGACTTTCCCATCAAACATGGTGATTTTCCATAGTTTTTTGTATGTTTACCAGAGGGTAGCACTCATATGAAATTAGCAAAGTGTCTAGTCCTTCTTGGTTGACATGAGTTGACATGACATGAGTTGACATGACATGAGCCAAATCCAAATTCTTTGGAAGTTCTACCCAGCGTTTTGTTGTTGGCTTCATCAGGGGTGACAGGGACCATTGGACCATCAAAAAACAGGAACCTCAAGGAGAATCTTTAGGTCATTCTGGGGGCATATCATGATCATTCGCTAATCTTAATAAGGTCAATATTCATTACCCTCTGGTAAACGAACTAACATAGCGAACTGGAAAGATCCACCATTTTTTTCATGGAAAATCCACTATTTCGACTGGGCCATTTTCAATAGCTATTTTGACATAACCAGAGGGTAATCATTCACATCAAAATAGCTATTGGGAACCCACTGGTTATGTGAATGATCATCATTTTCATGGTATTCACATCATTTTCATTAACCAGAGGGTAACTTACCATTTTTTTCAGTTTAACCTTAAGATTCACCCTCGAAAAGTATCATTCAGAAATGAGTCATCCCTTGGGAATCCCGTTTTTTCACTTTTGCCAAGTTGCGCCATAAAAAAAAGCCCATGGAAAATATCCATGAACTATAGTTATATATATATATATCCCATAAACCATAGATTATATATATATCCCATAAACCATAGACTTCAGAAAAACGATAGCCTCTGGTAATGACTATATAACAGTTTGCGAACTTGTGGCCATGGCCCAGTCGAAATGGTGGATTTTGATGGATTTTGCTATACAATGGTGATTTTCCCTAGGTTTTTTGTATGTTTACCAGGCCGGGTAGCCATCCGTATTTGTTTCCCCAGGAAGCGGCTCTGGAGTTGGAAAAAGTCCATCTGATGCTGGGGCAGATCCTGATGAATCTCAGGACTCCGCAGACGTGTTGTGACAGCCGAATGGTGGTTTTCTGAACGAGACGCAGACGCAACAAATGCTGGTTTCTTGTATGAGATTTATAGTTTATTGAAACCAGCACCATTTAAGTTTTATAGTTTATATGTTTCCCATTGGTTTCTATGCAACTATAGTTTATAAGCTTTATTAGATTAATTTCATAATTTTGATGATGGGAATTTAACAGTGGAAAAATCCCCAAGTCACCATGGTTGTTTCAATACTAAGGCATGGTCATAGATTACGACTGGATGATATACTATTTTAGGAAACCTCCAAATGGTGGTTGATGAAAGTTCACTGATCTTATGAGTTTTTTTTGCACCAACGTATTTTATGGCAAAATACTGAAGGCAACCTCAGTTTTCACAGTACTGACCTGGGAACTTTGCAAATGACAAGACTCAAATTTATATATAGTTTAGAACCAAATGAAACTTTGTTTTCTTTTTTCTTCGGCTGGCTGCATTGCAGATGAGGTTGGTCAGATCTAGATTGCGGTGTTCTAGGGGGTAATCTTGGAGTTTCTCATCGCTCTTCTCCCGCCAGCACCAAACGGTTTCAGAAGTCGCCACTGTAAACATCCAGGTTTCGGAAATGCCTCACGGGGTTCTATAGAATCGGGGCGATGTCCAACCATTTGGAGGAGATAACTGAAAGTGAGAAGATTCTTGCCCCAATCACAGGACGTGCACATGTGATCACACATGCATAAAGAGACTGAACATGGATTGATACATGTATATGTCGATGTAGATGTACAGGTATAGGTATATGTATTTATCACACCTTACGTTCTATTAAACATGGTTAATATTAATGATTAATATATGGTTGATATATGGTTATTATATGGTTATTATATGGTTATTATATGGTTAATATACTGTTAATAATGGCTAATATAATATTATATACAGAGAAAGATTGATTCGGCAGGCCTGATCCGCCCAAGCCAGCCGTCCAGTGAGATTTGAGCGAAGGGAAGGCGACTTTTTGTGCCAAGAAATTATGCTGCAAAACTTGAGGATTGGAACTTAATCCCAGGGATTTTTCGATGTTTTGGCCATGGACATGTGTTTTTTTTTCCCGGATTTTTCTTCCCTCTAAATTGACAAAAATGCACCCAAACATCACGAAAACTGGACTTCGGGGTATATATATATATAAGTCTGTGAAAGCTACTGACAGTCTTTCTGGATATGATTGGTTACACAAAAACACTCTGGTGAACAACAATGGCAATGAAATATCACCAGACATTTCGATGTTTCACTTGTTGGTTGCTGGTGATTTTCCAGCCTGGATGGAGTCAGTGGGTCAACTGGTGTCAAGCCCAACATGCTATGCTTAGATTGATGATAGGGTACAAGAATCCCAGTAGGTCAACCATGGGAGAGGAGCTGTATATCAGAGATGATTTAAAGTTACCAAGAGTATCTCAAAGTTGCCAAGCAGCGCTTTGGGGATGTTTCAACCTGCCTCTGAAAACCGCTGAAGAAAAGGCGACTTTCAGAGCATCGTTTCAGAATCGTTTCAGAACGTGTCCGAAAAATGTGGAGTGTGGAACATGTGGAGTGTTTTCGCAGCTTGATTCATTGACTGGTTGGTGGTTTGGAACATTTTTTATTTTTCCATATATTGGGAATAATAATTCCAACTGACTAATATTTTTCAGAGGGTTGAAACCACCAACCAGATTGATGTGTTGTCTGAAAATAGCTTGCCCAAAAAAAAATCAGCATACCTTGGTCCGGTTGTTTCAATCTCGCCACTCCTAGCTCCATCCTGCCAAGATCAGGAATCAGTGGGATGTTGCCATCGGAATCACTGGGATGTTTGGTGATGGTTCATACTCTCATTTTTTGGCTGATAGCCTCTGGCAATTTAACATAGCTATTGAAAATATACCATTTATAGTTGATTTACCTATTCAAAATGGTGATTTTCAATAGCTATGTTAGTTTACCAGAGGGTAGCCCATTGATTTCTCCCCATTTGTTGGGTCCTAAAGTTCCCAACCTGCACTATGAGATCAGCCATTTTTTGTTCCTCCGGATTTCGCCAAGATTTTTGGGCGGGGAATCTAAGACGATCATTACTTTTGCCTATCTAAAGATCATTGCGTGATCTCGTAGATACCTATGAAACTCTATGAAAAAAGCTCATCCGATGTATGATTTCTATTGATTTCTATCATCTATGATCTATCGCCGTTTTCTGTTCCCTCGGATTTCATCATATTTCATAGTAATCTACCCTCTGGTAATTTAACACAACTATGGAAAATCACCATTTTTAGTGGGAAAATCCACTATAAATGGCCATTTTCAATAGCTATGTTAAATTACCAGAGGGTATCCTGGTTGGTGGTTTCAAAGATTTGGATAATTTTCCATTTCATATATGGAATGTCATCCGAAACCCATTGACGAACTCCATCATTTTTCAGTAGATCATCGTCCCAGTCCGTTGACTCTCCCAGCCACAAACCTCCATGGACCGATGTTTCAGCCATGTTTGATGGAGGGTAACCGGGTAACCCAAAAAAAACAAGTCTTGGCATCTTCAAAGATCCATCCACTGAGGGTAAATCATGGTAAATCCGGTTTTTCTTCCCGTGATACTCCCATGATATTCTCATGATCTCATCTATATTCCCATTCGAGTCGCATCAAATCTTCCCATCAAAATCTAAAATATTCCCATCGACCCAACACTTGCCATCTACGTTCCCATCATCTTCTCATTTCCCAATTTATGTCTGTTGAATTTCCCATTCTCTTCCCATAAAACCATATAAAACCAGCAGTTTTCATCATTTTTCCACATTTTTCCCATGTTTTCCTGGGTTTTTCCTCCTTCCAACGGCACCATTTTTTGGGGTCCTCAAACCGGGCGCCATCCGTTCGTCGAACGCGCCCAAGGCCGATGGGATGGCCTGGCTCAGCGGCGTGCCGGTCTTCCGGCGCCTGGAACGCTGCGAGCTGCCGCTTTGACGATGGCTTTGACGATGGTTTTTGAGTCACATCTTTTTTAAAGCCATAGGAAAACCATAGGAAAATGGTGGTTTAATGGGATTTAATAGGATCTAATGAGATTTATAGATGGTTAATGGTCAATGGTTAACCATCTATAGATGGTTTGATGATTATTTGGCTGATAGCCGGCCTGGTAATGACTAACAAAAAACTATGGAAAGATCCACCATTTTCCATGGGAAAATTCACTATTTCTATGGTGATTTGAAAAATAGCTATGTTAAATTACCAGAGGGTAGGTTTGATGATTTTATAGATGGTATAGATGGATGGTATAAATGGTTAACCAACCATGACTTTTTCCATGGGTTGTTTTAGCAGATGAGCAGATGAGTTGAAAACAGTGATCAGACGATCAGAGTAGTTTTAGAGTGATCAGATTCGATTCAATAAAATTCTATAAAACTACTCTGATTCACTATAAATTCAACTATCAGTTAGTAGATTAGAATCGAATCTGATCACTATAATCTACTAATAGAATCGACAGTTAGTAGATTAGATTCAACTGGATGGAATTTGGTTGGTGATGGTTTGATTCAACCAATGGTGAAGAATGGTGGGACCCCGGATACGTTAGGTGGGACCCCGGATACTACGGCTAAGTTGGTGCGTTTATAACTCCAATGTCACTATTGGATATAGTAGAATGAATAATATAATATGATTTATAATGGGGTTTATAACGGTTAAAATACCAAATTCATGGGTAATTTAATATAGTTTTTTTTTAATGAGAAAATCAATCATCTATAAATGGTTAATGGTAAGTGGTTTTCCCAGCTAGCCGTGTTTGATTACTGAAGGGTATCAATCGATATTCCATTCCAAATCCACTCATAGCCAATTAAACCTATTAATTTTTAATGTCAACCCTGGAGTAATAAACCCCTTGGCTGTTTTAATTGGGAGGGTACCATTTAAGTATCATTAATCCGGGGTTGACACTATTCCATTGTATCCCCTTATATCCCACTAATTTCGGCCATTTTTGGTGGGTAAATGTTGGAGCCTATATCCCGGCAGCCGAGGCCCCTGTTGGCCGCCAAATTTCACAGTGATAGGTTCGAGCCAGGTGAGTTAAGGGAAGAAAAGAAACTGCGTGGCGATGATGTTTGGGTAGATCACATGATCTACATTCCAATTAGATAGATTTCTATACATAATATTTGTAACAAGATGTAACAAGTATATATAATGGAATATATATATATATAATATACACATACGCACTGACTGGCATTGACATGTACATATATACATATATCTACAGATACGAACATACATGTACACGCATGCAGGGCTGCATGGGTCAAAGTTGTTGGCCAGGATCATGGTGAGCGATTCTTCGATTTTCGTTTCTTGATTTCAAGAAATTGAGATCTAAAGATTTCCAATGGTTAGAACTTAGAACCACATTTTCCATGGCTTTTCTTTAAACAAATCGATTTTCGATGTCCAATCCAACATTCTGAAGCTTTCTGGATGTTCGATAGCTTCAAAATTTGATAAATATAGTATAAAATAGTATAAATATAGATGTTCTATGGGAAAATCCCACATTTTTTCGTTCTAATTTGCGTTCCGCGTTCCCCCACCATGTCTCTTTTACCCGCGGTGTTTTTGAAAGGTGAAGTTCTCTTCAGGAAGGGCGATCCCGCCGAGGCGATGTCGGATAGGATGATCTAAATGATGATATGATGATAAATACATATCATCTATTAATATGAATAGATATATAATTTCCTATATATATATATATATCTATATCTATATATATCTATATCTATATCTATATATATCTATATCTATATATGATGATATATCTATATATGATGATATATCTATATATGATGATATATCTATATCTATATCTATATCTATATCTATATCTATATCTATATATCTATATCTATATCTATATCTATATCTATATCTATATCTATATCTATATATCTATATCTATATCTATATGTATATCTATATCTATCTATATGATGATATATGATATATGATATATGATGATATATGATGGTATATATATATATAGGAAATTATATTTATTCAGCGCATAGATTATAATTTGAGGGATCAAGATTCAGGATGAAGCAAAAGAATTCAGATCTCAACCAACCGACCCTGGGACGCTTGATCAGACCCCCGTTTAAGTCCAGGTTCCCTGATTTGGTGAAACTCACTATGTTTGTTGAATGCTTCCTATCTTTGTTGCTACTTCAAAGTCAGTTATATCAATATATCGTATTATATAGTATTCTCTGGTATTTGTTGGTTCAAAATTTCAAAAGCAAATCAAAACCGATTTTTATTGTCCAAGATTCCAATTCTTGATTACCTAAGATATGGAAAACTTACCAATTGATACCAATTGCCGATCATTTTCCAGGGGACATGTTTTTTCTTTTTATGTCTATGTCATTCTCTGGAGAGTAAATATGTTAGTGTGGTAAACCCAATAACATACCATCTTATCACAAATGGGTGGGATTGATACCCTTCCCAAATGGTAGTGATGGAATGGCATTGGGTTCCCCACATGATTCCCCATTCTTCTTCTTAATGCTATCATTGCCATATTGTTATTATTATTATCATTATTATTATCATTATTATTATTCTTATTCTTATTATTATTATATTATCATATATTATTATTATTATTATTATTATATATATATCATGATTACCAGTATGTTGATCATCATCATTATCACTACTAGTATTGTTACTATTACGATTACCATTCTCGTGCTTATATATCAGATTCTATTTAGCTTTCTTAAGGGCAATTACCGGTTTGGTATTCTCAATCAATGGATTGGTTTCAGGGAAAAAATACAGGAAACCTCCATATATTTCATGGGAAATCCATGGTTTCCTGTAGATTTTCCCGGAAACCAATCCATTGAATCAATGCATCTCCATTTTTTCTTGTGGTTCCATCACCGCTGCGAGGCCTTCTACGTGATCCAAGAGGGCGAGGTTTGTCAGGGGTGAGGAGAAGCCTGGTGATCCTAAATCTTTCTAAGTGGAT